TGATGCAAAAGAAAAATAAACTCAATCTAAATATAGAGTTCGTTTGATAATACTCGTAGTAAAATTAGTGAAATCAGCTTATTTGACTGAAATTGATTAAATTCGGGTTGAATCACTTGAATGGGCTGAATAGGCAGAATCTCTCGAATCATGAAAAAAATTAAAAAATATTTCACTTGTAAAATAAAGAGACAATTATATGAAAAATATTCAAAATGATCTTTTACATAAGCATCTCAACTAATCACAATTGTGGTGAACCCAATTTTAAAGAATTCACAGAGAAGCTTCTTAAATAATCTCATGTATTCTAAATTATTTTATTATGCACCTCAATTTTTTTCATATTCCTCATTGAACTTGGTATGAACTGTGAAGTATTTACTTTTAACTTTTAATGGTAAGATTTTACATTTGACTCATTATTTCATCACATTGAAAATGTAAAAAATGGAGTTTTTTTACATTTTACTCATTATTTCGTCACATTGAAAATGATTTTTAATTGTTATGAACGCCTAGATTACTTTATTGAACATTTCAAAATAACATGTTTCTAATATTTCTCATTCAACATTGTATGAAATACATATTTTTAAATTTTAATAGTGAGTTAGGTTCTTACATTTTACTCAACTTGGTACTCCGTAGTAAAAATAAAGAAATGAAACAATCTAACATATTTACTTTTGGCTAGACTAAACGTATTAACTTGTGAACACATATGCATGTATGATATCAACTTTCATCCTTATTAAATAATAAAAATAAACTACTTGATTAGAAGCATTCTCTTTATATGATTCTATATATGAATGTCTAATAGTACTAATTTCGCTTTAATTTAAAAAAATCGGTGGTTATAATTTTCATCATTGTGTTAATAATTAAGAAAGTATTATACGAAGATGTAGAAAAATACGAAGTACTAACACAATTTCAAATCTATAGCTTAAAATTTTAATCATGATCTCAACATTGAGTTTACAAGAATAAAATATACGGAGTAACATTTTCGGAAATAGGACACTATTAATACTTATAATTATATATATATATATATATATATATAATTTTGAAGACAAAATAAATAGCAATTTGGCTGATTTATCTATTTTTTTAGGAACTAATTTGTCTGGTAAGTGGACAAAACAAAGATACTTTATTTCTTCAATAAAATGTAATAAAAAATAAGGAGTATAACAATAATAAAAAAAATTATACGTGATTATAAAAGTACTTTATAAAAATTACTTCGTATGGTTGGTTATTTAATTAGTGTGATTCCAATTAATGAATTTCATAATTATTAAATACGTAATAGGTTTTGAAAAAGTTTCCAAATAAGGTGTATTTTTATCATAAAGTCTTTTGTTTTCATATCAATATGCAATCCAAAATAGAATCTAATAAAATAAATAAAAGATACAGAATATTAAAAAATTAAATGATGGATGACATGGCATGATTATGTGGCACTTTGTATGCTCTTAAAAAGTTCCTCTTTTATATATATATATATATTGATTGTCATACTTTCATTTTTATCAACTTTTTCATTTAAAGTTAATCACTCTTACTTTTCCGTCGTTCTCTTTAATAGTTTTCCATAATAATGTTCTCCCACTTTTTTATACTAGTAGCTACTCTTACTATTTTAATCTTAATTCTATGTTTTCTTTTAGACTTTTTTCAGACCAGATCAGGCCAGATCAGATTAGACCAAACCAGACTTCCGTAGTTATAAAATATCCCGAGACCAGACATTTACCAGACCAGTTCAGACCAGACCAGCAAATTTCAGTCCAAAAAAAAGGAGTGTAAACAAACTTTTCTCTATTTCAAATATGAAAAAGAAAGAAATATACTTCTGAATAGCCTCAAATTAAAGTTACTTTCACCATAACATTCATATCTTTCCATTTTCTTTTTTTAACCGTAACATTCATATCTTCTCTTTTTTACATCTTCTCATCACACCCTCAATAATTATGAAAATACATTATTACAACTATTTTTTTAGATTTATCCTTTATTTCAGAACATAATTTCATTATCTTCATATCATAGTCTCATTAATTTATATCCTCTTTCACTATTCATAATCTCATCTACTTTTAAATAGGAAGATATGAATGTCATGGAGGTAGTAATATATATCCCTAACCTTTTATTGAAATTATTAAACACAAAAGGCTTCATTTATAAGTTATAACATATGTATGGATGTACCAATTAGAAGCCGCGGTCTCTCCCTAGCAAGTCTAGGGATTGGTTTTTCGTTAGCAGATCTAAGCTTTGGTTCTTCCGGCAGGTGAATCCCCTTCACCTGTGCCCGGCGCTGTGATTGGATTTGAGGCAGATTGATAAGAATTCTTGGCCAAGCTTGACAACATCGAAGCCAGAGTTCGGCGATCGATTTCTTCGTGAGCAGGGTAGCAAGAGCATGGCAATGATAAAGATGACCGCTAGCGGTGGATTTGCTACGAGCGCGAGATGAGGAGAGTTGCACGGATTTCGAGCAGGCCAGATGATGATTGACAATGGAGGATCAATTAGACTGACACCAAGGATACGGCCTCCTCCTAAACCACCGACATTAATTGTGCGAGATGCTAGAGTCCGTGAAAGTTTTCAAATAAGTTTTCATTATTTTGTCATTTGGTTTCTGGTTACCGTCTATGTTGTTAGGTTTATCAGTTTGTTTGGAAATTTAGCCTTGTTTGATGTCATTGAGCATGTTTGGATCTATGGGAATATGGATTGCTGTGTCAAGCCCGTTACATGGTTAGCGATTCGTGTTGCTCTTTCAGGGGTGGCCGTTTCTAAGGCTCATCATAGGGTTTACAGTCGTAGTTGTTGGAGTCTAGTTGGTGTCAGATTTGTTTTTTCTTTGATTAATGTAATGATTCTGAAACTTATGATATGAATAGAGGCTAGTTTTCGTTCCAACAAAAACATATGTATGGATGTAACATTATAAATGTCATGGATACAGGGGACTACCTTCACTTGTACAATGTATGCATACACCAAATCCATACACGCCTTATACATGCCTTCTGTGAGTGTATATTTTATCTGTGAATAGTGTATTCACAAACAAAAAAGTACCCTCACGGATGGTGTGCCGCGTGTATAAGGCACATATGAAATTGGACAATGTACAAATAGTTTTTTTATAAACAAGTAGGCATGGACCGGGCCTGAGCCAGGCCTGAGCGGGCTTTTTGGGAGATAATTGAGGCTCGGAACCGGCCCGATTATCCTCCGGGTCCGGGCCGGGCTGGTTCCTTGTTTTTGCTTTTCTAATTAACCCCCAACTCTCCCTCCTCACCCCAACCCCCCAAAACACCCAGCCCAACCCGTGAAAATAAAAAAAATGAACAAAAAAAACGAACCGGGCCTGGCCCGGTCGGGCCGGTTCCTAATTTGGGTGACCCCGAGCCTGCCCAACTTAACCCCCGGGCCAGGCCTACCTGAACCAGTCTCTAGCGGGCCACCGGGCCGGGTTGGTTCCAAATAGTGACGGGCCGGGCGGCCCGGAACCGGTCCATCACTATAAACAAGGGTATTCGACGAAGTAATAAGGTCCTTTTTGTAACATCTCTCTTAGAATAACATTATTTAACATTTTTCTTCTAAAATTATTGAAAAGTACTAGGGGCCTACTATAATACTATTAACATTCAAAATTAATCTTTAAGTCTTTTTGTACATGATTATTTTAAAATGTGTAGGGACATGTCCTTTAACATATACTCGGATACTCCTTCCGTTCCTAAATAAAAGAATCTATTTCCTTTTCGAATTGTCCCTAAATAAAAGTCCTCTTTCCTTTTTGGCAAATAAAACAGTGTCAAACAATACCAATCAACCCCACTTTCTTAAAATGTGTGGAAAATGAATACATATTTTATATAGAGACAAAAGGAGTACTACGTGTCTACTTATTTCGTAGTAGAGGGTGATTCCTTCCCCTTTTACAATAGTTGTAATAATGTATTTGGTGCACGATGTCTACTATTCACAATTACCAGGAAAGGATGCGCACAAATTGATTCATAGCATTAAATATTTATTATAGTTTTTATATACTAGGCAACTATTTGTGCAAGGTGTAAATTGAACTCTTTATGTTGGAGCTTCGAAGCATATGGAAAATACTTTTATTTCCCATTGAAATGATTATTTTAAGTTCAATTTTATTATGGGATTCACGTGGGTGAATTTAGTTGAAATTGGGAGGAATTCAAGTTCAAGCAACGAACGTTGAGTGTGATCAACACAAAAGATTAATTTTAAATTCAAGACCAATAAGTTGTGTTCATTGTCAGCATTCACTGCTACTCCTAGTCTCCTACAGTCCTCAACACAAAAGATTAATTTGAAGTGCACATAATTGATTTCACCCACCTGAACCCCATAATAAAATTGAGGCTAAAATGATCAAATTCACACAGAAATAAAAGTTTTTTTCATATATTTCCAACAGAAATAATTCAATTTACACCTTACACACCCTGGCTACCCTGTCCAATGCCAGAATAAATACAAAGTAAATCTTACAATCACAACGCATTGATAGGCATTAGGCATAACTAGGGATGGACCCGGGCCGGGCTTTTTTTTGGGGGAAGGAAGAACCGGAACCGGCCCGGGTAGGTAGCGGTTCCGGGCCGGGCCGGTTCACTTTTTTTTTTTTAATTTTCTTTTGCTTTTCTAATTAACCCCCCGACCCCCCCCCCCCCCTCACCCCACCCCCCAAACCCCAAGAAAACACCCAGCCCAACCCGGGAAAAACGAAAAAATAATTGAAAAAAAAAAGCCCGAACCGGGCCCGGAACCGCTTAACCCCTTGGGCCTAGGCCCGAACCGTAACCGGTTTCCCGGGCCGGGCCGGTTCTAAACAGTACCGGGCTGGGCCGGTTCCGGGCCAGGTGGCCCGAACCGAGTCCATCCCTAGGCATAACCCATTTGCACTATGCAGGAAGATGCAATTCATCAAGAAGAATACTAGCCATGATGTAGTCAAGACAGGTGCCATAACAGAAAACCATGGAAAAATATAACATAATTTGTTGATAATGGTCATTTTAGCCTTTTTACATACGTAGTATTATTTTTTCATAATTAGCAGATACAATTGCCTTCAAAGAATGTTGATGCTCCAATCAATAGGGAACATATAGAAGACTTGTGTTTATTCTTTCTTCAGAAAAGTCCGAAACAAATTTGGATATCAAGCAGAGAAGAGTGCAACAAAGGCACGACAGGATTGACTTCTATCAATCAATAACAAATAAATGATCAATCACAAAAAAATATAAACTGAAAGGGTAACAAAGAGGCACATACTATTCCAATGAGCTGATCAACTCCTTAAAGTCGAAGACCAGCCAATCAGCTTTGGCTGCAACAGATTCTCGAAGTTGAACTCCACCGTAACAGATATACAAGTCTGCACCTCCAGGCTGACGAGCCTGTAAACCCATTTCAATTTTGTTGCATGATCAGCAAAGCAGGCAAGGGTGTGGGGGTGTTATTGACACTTATTGTATTATCTGTCACTCTCAAAACACGTTTGAAAATCCAAAAATGTAGGGGAAGAAAATAGGGGAGGTTTTAAATGAATGAAAACTTATTATGTTTTAGCTAGACTATAAATTTCTGGTCTGGTTTGGTATGATCTGTTCCGGTCTGGTAAACGTTTAATGCGTGCGTATTTTACTTCTACATTTGTTCTTAAATAAGTGCAACATGTTGAATTTTACACTATTCACATGTTCTATTTTGATTACCTCTTATTTATTAATGTATCAATAAATTATTTAAAAAAATATTGTTAAATTTGTCTTATCGTAAATTTTCAAAATCTGAGTTTGTTTATTTATTTATTTATTTATTTATTTTTACTAATAGAGAATTAAATATACTAATTGTCAAAGTTGTGCATCGACAAACGTGATAAGTGGATTGTTGCACTTATTTAAAAACATATGGTCTATAGTCTTTTTTAAAACGCTTTTAATGGGACTAAAATTTTCTAGGTCTGATAAATATCTGTTTGATGTGTAATTTACTATTGGATCTGGTCTGACACTAAAATCAATTCAGTTATAAACATCCTAAGTCTGCTTGATCTGACTTGGTTCGTTGAAGTGGTCTGATCAGGTCTGGGATCGAAAACAATCCAATAAAAGCATCTTAGGGAAAATAAAAGCATTGGTTCAAACTCAACAAATTTATTTCTGAAATAAAAAGACCAAGAGATCAAAAATAATTTAAAAAGGATTAAAAACATTACTAATTTTCTGAAATATGATCTGTTCCGGTCTGGTAAACTTTTAATGCGTGTGTATTTTACTACTACATTTGTTCTTAAATAAGTGCAACATGTTGAATTTTACACTATTCACATGTTCTATTTTGATTACCTCTTATTTATTAATGTATCAATAAATTATTTAAAAAAATATTGTTAAATTTGTCTTATCGTAAATTTTCAAAAAACTGAATTTATTTATTTATTTATTTTTACTAATAGAGAATTAAATATACTAATCATCAAAGTTGTGCATTGACAAACGTGAAAAGTGGATTGTTGCACTTATTTAAAAACATATGGTCTATAGTCTTTTTTAAAACGCTTTTAATGGGACTGAAATTTTCTAGGTCTGATTTGATGTGTAATTTACTATTGTCTAAGTCTGATTTGGTCTGACACTAAAATCAATTCAGTTATAAACATCCTAAGTCTGCTTGATCTGACTTGGTTCATTGAAGTGGTCTGATCAGGTCTGGGATCGAAAACAATCCAATAAAAGCATCTTAGATTCTTAGGGAAAATAAAAGCATTGGTTCAAACTCAACAAATTTATTTCTGAAATAAAAAGACCAAGAGATCAAAAATAATTTAAAAAGGATTAAAAACATTACTAATTTTCTTTAGCATTTTCAGAAGTGAAGCCAAACACAATAAAATAATTTTCTTTAGCACATATTTTTAGCTTTACTAGCATTTCCCAGGATCCAAACATACCCTCAATGTGACAATGAATGTGGAGAGATGGTTTCTTACCTCAAGGTCTGTAGCACCATCACCAATCATGACTAGTGACTTGTATCCATGATCCTAATGGACATCTTAAACTTCATGTTTATGCTCCAAAAGGAATACCAATGGAAAAATATAATGTGATCATCATTACCACTAACCTTTCGTATCTGCCGAACTGCAGTGGCTTTCCCTCCACTCCGTGAAGTGAGCTCATTTTTGTCAAACCCAATAAATTTCCCCGAAGTTTCAAATAGAAGTTCATTGGCAAAAATGTTTTTACTTGGTATTCCAAGGATGGAAGCAACAGGCTGGGAGGATTTGGTTAAAGTCAAGAAATTAGAATATCAGAATAGTAATTACAAGTTGTATACTGCATTAAAAAGTGTACCTTTTGCATTAAGGTAACAGAAAGATGTGAACTACAGTGCATGATGATATAGCATGAGAAAAGTAGTCTTTAGCATTTGATATAGAATGATTAACCATTAACCATATAAAACTGTGATAGATAACTCACAGAATAGTAAAGAAACTGTAAAATCTATCAAGAAGTATTCAAAGCTTCAGATTTCATTAATGGTGGATTACAACTGAAAATACAGAAAAGTAACGAGACTGTTAGAGAGGTCTCAATCTCCCACAGCCTAATCCCAACTAAAAACTTGCCTCCTCCTTATTCATTACTTCCTTCTATTTACACTAGTAATATTATTATTAATAACCAGATTCTACGTGGGTTCCTCTTATCTTCTTATTAATATCACAAATCTGTCCAGGTCCCTATCAAACTGAATGATGACAAACAAAAATAGAACTTTTTAACCAAAAGAAAAAAATCAAGTGAACTTCCAAATTAAAATGAGTGTCCTTACTCAAGCTATACTAGCATTGTTTACAAATCAAACAAACTGTTTGAAACACAAATAAAGATAGCGGTTTTCTGGTTCTCTTGCATGATACTCATAAGATCAAATTCATGGTAAATAATGTTGGAGAAGATAAGTTTATGAATGACATCCTTATAGATTTTTGAATGGCTTAGTACAAAGCCAAAGCAAATAAGAAGAAAAGAGATTATCGGCATATAGCTCAGACGGTAGTTTGATTTTGTAATGCGGTAATGCCTAAAGTTGCAGTGCAAAATGTCACTGCAGTTCGAATGTCTGACAATATTGTTATATGCTTTGATTAGACTAAAAAGAAATAGATACATCAACTACAAATTGAAACATGTCCCACCCAAGCTATAGCTTGACTTACACTAATCATTTGACGAAACCCTCCAGAAATAAGATAAATTTCCCTTTTTCTATTCTTCAGTAGGCTGACCAATTCATCAATCCCAGGAGACAACCTAGATAAAGGAAAATCTGAAAGACTAAATCACATAAAAGTACATTCGAAACACAATGATAAAAGATAACAAGCTTCTTAGATTTTTAAGTTTGTTCAGAAATAGACTCATATAAGTTATTTGATTTGACTCATTTCCAGTCCCAAACAGCCATTTGGGGTACCATCTTATCAGAGCTAACATGAAAAAATCACACCAACACCCTCAGGACCCTTCAGATAAAAAATTGAGAGAGATGACCTAAACAGAAGTCAAGGAAATGTATACAAGGCTACAAGCAACCGGCAGGCTGCATTTGGAATACTGTACCTTATTCAAAATATTGTTGCACACAACTTTTGTTGAGTTGTCTTATTTAAGATGCCAAATTATAACTCCAAAATTTATAATTTCTCTTACTCCGTATAAGCTTTCATTTTGCACTTCAACCTCATTTAGTACGTGTGAAAGTTGCTTAAAATGTGTTTCTCCTTAATTGTGGTTGATGAACATGATGTAATCCATAATCTTTTGAAATTGATCATTTTAGACCACAGACTTGATGTAAACTTAGTTTCTTGATTTCTCCTACCTATACTGAAAATAAACTTGCAAAATACGGTAGCAATTAAAAGTTATTATTAAAATTTTAAATATAAGACTAAGAGTTATAGTTGATGGGCCCTTTCCAAGTTGTAGTAAATGTGCTATGTTACGAAAAAATTGATTATTACCCCATACACTAAAAAAGTAAACAATTTTATGAAATAAAAAGCAGGAAAAACTCATATATCAGAGGTTTACAGTATTGTATCATATCATATCAGAAAGTACAATTTAGACGATAGTATTCATGGGAACCTCATAGTAATTGTGGCAGCCATTCTAGACACAAAAATACTCGATTGTATGTTCCAAGAAGTTCAACACGTGTCCTAGTATTATTGAAGAAGACCAGAACTAGATAGAAAACACTAATAGACAAATCTTCAATATACACAAATCATTATAATATGTTCTGTGTTACTTCCAAAGCACTTTAGAAAGGACAAGAAGGCCAGATTTATGGATCTCTTAGGCATTTACGATGAAGCAACTTTAAACATGGAAGTAGCAGCTTCTCACTTTGAATATCTTTAATCATTGAATTGATGTGGAGTACTTTCTGTTAGTCTACCAGTCTGATTCCACAGAGACATACTTTTTCTTTAATTTTCCATGAGTCTCTTTTTTATGTTGTACTCATAAAGTTTATCTTTAATATAGCTTATTTCCTTAACAATTTTACAGGCCGATTATTTTTTTTTGCTGGTTGGTTTAGTACATAGATTTACGCCTACAGAAAGTTTTGCCTCTCAAGTCTAGACTATGTTTGACATCTTGATATAAACAGAGAACAACACAGGAGATGTCACAGTAGATAGATATATACTCAGTTACTCATATACGGCATGTACCTTGGAGGCTTCTTCACTAAGAAACTTTGAACTTGTGACAATGAAGGGTTGAATAGAGATAACCTGGCAGCCAAGGCTTCCTCAAAGGGAACAGACCCACTCATTGCCCTAGCAAAGCCAATAAGAAAATAAAAATGGTAGGATTTGAAGCACTGAATGTACCCATACAAACAATTCTCATCCCAAAAATAAACATCAAACCTAGCAGTCCAATCTGCTACAGCCTTCCCAGCTCCACAGAATTCAGCAAGTTCATCTATGCCCTCATCTATACAAACTGTGCTATCCACATCAAAGCACACAGCATTTGCATTCTGCCAAATATCAAGCACCTCTTGCAATAGTAAGCAAAGCACCATTCAGAACTAGGCAAGATTCACAATATTATAAGTAGCATATATAAAAAGAGACAAATTAGCTCATCTAAGTCCAGTAAGTTTATAATCCTTCGCTTCCAGTTTATGAGTGCAGCCGTGCAGGAGATTAATAAGGTAACAAAAAGTTGCAAATTATTGAAATCAAATAGGATTACTAGCTTAATATATTCCCAAGTCCCAAATATATCAAATTCACAAATCTATCATGTTATTTATCTTTTATTTAAAAAAAGTCTCAAATTTCATTATTTTAACAACTATACTTTTCCTTCATGGTTTTTTAAAATTAGAATTTATATCAACTTTTATACTTTTCATATACCTTTATTCAATTTAATATTGTTTATTTATTATTTTAGTTTATTCTTTTCATGTTTTAACAAGAACTGAAATGAAATCATGAAAATGTTATCTTACATATTAATCTGTAACTGAATTTTTAATGAACTATGACGAACTAATATAACATGATACTCTAACAATTGCAACACTTAACCAGCCGGTACAATTATATTTTTTAATAAAAGGTGCTAAAGTAATTTGAGCACTAATACTTATACTTAAGTAAAACCAATTTGTTAATAGAAAACTTTAAACTCTTTTTCTAGTGTCTTATGTGGCAATTTTATCCGGTTGTGTGACACTTTTATCTTTCTAGTTGTATTTCAGATGGGTCATACGGAAACAGTCTCTCTGCGCTTTAGTACAGGGGTAAGACTGCGTACATCCGACCCCCCCTTACCCCACCATAGGTGGGAGCCTTTGCGGCACTGGGGTAAATGATGATTGATTGATTGAGTTGTATTTCAGATGTTTTGCACCATACTTTGATTGATTACAAGTAATACTACGTGCAATTTTCTCCATACCAAAAAAAAATAAAAGACCATGTTTTTAAATTCAAACTAGAGAGAAGCGGGAAATTTATGAAATAGAACTAAGTATTTTTACAAATATTACTCCCTCCATACAAAAATCGGTCCTGTATTTCCTAACTGGTTTGTCCCAATTCCCAAATGATAGTCATGTTACCATTTTTTGTAAAGAAACTAAAGTAGATTACCATTTTCATTTATACCCTCCCTCATTAATGAACAAAAGTGAAGCAGTGAAAAGTAAAATAAAGTAAGGGTTTATGGGACATTTAACATATTTAACATACTTTCTTAATATTTGAACCCAAAAAGTATAGGACCATCAGTTCAAGGATGCAGGGAGTACTATTTAAGTATTTATTCCACTCCAAAGTACAATTGTTAAAAAAAAGTTCAAATTTGAGTCTTTCTTTGATAAAAGCTAGAATATGATGTATTTGTGAATCTACTCAATTCAATGATAGTTGGGAAAATATGAAGCTAATAATCCGATCAAATATATTTACTATTCAAGCCCGCCTAAGAAACAACCAATATTTCCACTTGAGCACTAGGGCGACCAAGAAAACTAACATTGATTTTAATGTAAAAAACAAACTCGGACCATACATCTACCTTTAGATGGTAATATATTGCCAAAACTGTTTTTTTGTGAGGCTTCAATGGGCCGGATTGAAGCTAAAACCGAAAACTCAGACTTGGGGTTTTGACTCATCCAAGTTGATTTCCAATACACTCTTCTCGAGAATATTGGAGTAAATGCCGAAATGAAACCATGATTCTTTTGCTTATAAAATACTCTGATGGGGTTGATCTGCAAAGTCCTCGACCCATCCATTACAATCGTCTGATATCCAAATCACCGCACATAAACGTCTAAACAACAATAAATAATGAAATGTATTGATGCATTTCAATCATGAAACTCGAACGTTAAACAACTAATGCAACAAAAACAAACATTAAAACTATTATTAACTTCTACGAAAAGCACAAACATGCACTGGCGGAACCAGTAGGGTGACTTGGGGGGGCACATTAGCACATAAATCATATATCATGAATATAGTAATAAACAAAAAAATTACATTTAAATAAAAAAACTAATTACAGAATACCTTAATGTTGATTAGAAACTGATGCGTCAAATTTTAGGAGAGGTTAGTTGAATATTCCCGGGAACGTTTGAGTTCATTACCATATTTATATTCCAGCCATTTAAATTCTTCAAACACCACTGCTTTTGAAATGATCTCCTATGCCCACCAAAATCAGTTTGTGGAAAATTTAACTCACGTGGTTGACAAGGGCCTTTTGTAAAATAACGTTTCCTAAACTCTTCTCTAATATTGACATCATTACTGTCAATCCGCCCAGGATCACCAACAATGTCATCATCCTAAAATTCAACATATATTTGAGGTTTTTTAACATTATTTTCATTGTTAGGAATGACATTATCTGAGGAAGAAATTAAATTATTCGACAAAGAACCATCAATGCTTGGCCGTTTAGGAATTGGTGTATAAAATCTTAACGTAGTGATTGTTTGTCAAACAACCAAAAGACTACGATTGAAATAATATGAGTGTAATGGTAAAAATTAGATTATAACAGACTGAATCAACAAATCCAAAATTAAAATACAATTAACACTTTCAATGAGATTATGAGAATAGAGTTGCAAAAAAATCAACAATTTATAAAATGAAAAGAAAAGTTAGATTAAGCCGCAGAGCCGCTTACCTGCAAGATGGAGATGGCAGCACAGGAGATTAAGTCGGAAATTGGAGGAAGGGCCGAGGGGTGGTCGCCGTCCGTCAGTTCGTCGTCGTTGGTTGCTCCGTTAGCATAAGCTGTTTGGTTCCTCTAATTCTTACTTTATTTAGATCGGCATAAAATTTATCGAGAAGTTAATTTATTCTAATAATAATAGCTACAATTATAATTATAATTATAATTACAATCTAAGCTATAAATATAATTATACTTACAATTATAGTATAATTATATTTATAGTTTAGATAGTAATTATAATTATAGTCATAATTAATATTATAATTATATATACGATTGTAATTATAATTATAATTATAGCTATAATTATAACTATAGTTATGGTTGTAATTATAATTATAGTTATAATTGTATTATTGTTATAATTGTGTTGGTTTTTTTTCAGGATCACAATTCTAAAATGATGCAGATCAACCGATACGGTATTTAATCAGAACAACTAAATATATCACTTGAGCAAAAGAAGAGCACACGAACAAGCAGAACAACACAACTAAGTTTATAATAGAAGCTTCAGAGCTAAAAACTCATCCCTACGGATGCACTGGGACGGCTCGGGCCCGGCACAGTCCCAACCCGATCCCGACCCGCACCTGTTTGGGCCCGGCCCGACCGGGTATTGGGCCTGAAATTTTTAGTCCCAGTCCCACACAATACCGACCCGGCCTGGTCCCTAAACCCTAAAACCGGTCATAATCCATCCCCAGATAGAGCAACAAAAGCTTACAAAATACAGAGCAGGAACTAGGGGTGTACCCGCCGGCGGTCCGGGAACGGAACCGGCATTGTACCAGCCCGGACCAAGATCGGGAGCAGAATAGCGGTTCCGATTCAGAACTGGGTACCCTAACCCGGGCATCCGGCGGGCCCGATCTCGGCCCCTCGGACGTGAAAAATGGAGACCCAGCCGGGTAGTTGGCTTTTTAATTTTTTTTATTTATCGGCTTTTGTTTGAAGATGGGGACCGGACTGGACGGGTATGCGAGACCGGGACCCGTATACTTCTAGGTCTGTTCCAGACTTAAATCTAACGGATTGGGGCCAGTTTGAACTATGAAATTTCAAAACATTTTTACTCTACTTTTCCCGGAACATTAATCGGTCCAACCTAGCTGGAGTTAATTGTTCCGGTCCTAATTTTTAGAACTCGAAGTATTTCAAGTAATTTCCGTCCACTAAAAACACAGCAATGACAGCACTGATTAGATTGTTTTGGCCTTTTGGGATATGGGTTGCCCAGGATGAGCAATTACAATTCCACCTTTTGAGTACAGTCAAGTAGTCAACTACAGTGTAAAAAAGTTGAAACCGGTCAATGGAAACTACAAAGAAACCTATAGGTAGATAATAATAACCAGACCGAAACCAATACACAGCACCTAGTCATGGACCCGGGCCGGGCCGGTTCCGGGCCCGCACAGTAGCGGGCCGGGCCGGGCGGCCCAAACCGGGTCCATGACTAACAGCACCGATCGATGAACTGTCCAATCTCAAATCAGGCCAAAACCAGCCTAAGTCCACCCATACGCATAGGCCTAGATGTTCTTTTGGCACAAGATTAAGGGGGTGTTTGGTTACAAGCGGATCAGTCATTTTTTGTCTGATTTGACCACTATTAGCCTTTTGACCAGATTAATCAGCCAACATGAGTGTTTGGTAAATTGGCTTTTTTAGTTGGCTTTTTATTCCAAACAGCCAAAATATAAAATGCCAACAAAAGTGGCATTTTGGTAATGGCTGTTCAACAAACTGCCGAACATTCCTATTTTACCCAGTGCTCTCTTCTCTTGGTCCGTTTCACATGGAATGGTCTCCAGACTCCAGGAAAACCTTTGCACCAAGGAGAAGCCTTTTTTTTAGCTCTACAACTTCTCCAACAATCCTACGCAGGGAGCAAAGATAGCCAATAAAAAAAATGAGCAACCCAGTTTAAATGTTTAGCATTTTCTTCCATTTAGCTCCGATAAGTTTTGTAGCAGGAAAGTCATTTGAAAAAGGTTCAGGAAGTTTTGTGGGTTTAATACTTTTTATTTAAAATAATAATAATAGCAATATAAATAATAAGGAGTAAAATAATAGAAGTAATTACATAAGTATGACCAAATTAAAGATGACTTACAAAAATATGATTAGTTACTAGAGTAGTAATGAAATCATAGTAATTCGTGTTCAAATTTTGAACTTAAGTTACCACAACACTACGTTATAGTAATGAATAGTCACATTTATGTAAATAAGTTTTATTTTAGTAATATTCTTGTAATAATAATAATAATAATAATATTAATAATAATAATATACAAATGGAGAAAGCCCACAAAAAATTGTACGTGATTGCTTGAAGGGTGTAAAAAACAAAAGTTTACAATTTAAAATTACAAAAACGGTTTAGGCAATTGTATTAATTAAATTAACTAAATAAAAAATTAATTAATTAAAAAATAATTGATGTCCTCAATAGTCATTTAACAAGTTATCAGCTGATCGTAAACAGCTATCTAACCAAACACCAGTTTACAAATGGCTAATACTATCAGCTAATCAAAACAGCCAACAGAATCCGTTGTAATCAAACCGCCAACACAATCGGCCAACAGCTAACAGCCAACAGCCATTTGCCAAACACCCCTAAGGCTTTTTTGGCATGTGTTCTTTTTTTACAAACTAATCGAGACCCCAAAAAGCTAACTTAACCCATCACATTAATGATCATGAGAATGAGAAATTGCTTCACTGATAAGTTCATAAAAAGCTTCTCATTACATTTGTTAAGCAATGAAATGGGAACTTTATCATTTGCAATGTTCTTTGATATTCATTTCTTTATATAATTCATTCAACATACATCACTCAACTAAAGAAAAAAATCCAGGTCAATCGAGTATAAATGAGTTATGGCAACTCAACTCGCTTTGACAGGTGCAAAATTGGATACAGAAGGCAGAAAATTTTATGAAAGAATTCATTCAAATCCAACAAAACCCTGTAAGAGAGTCTAGAGCCACATCACTGTTGAGTTCATTCAAAAGACACCCTCTATGGATGGTTTCCAATGCAAATCTTACATAGCTGAGGTGGCATCACAGCTCTCCGCTTGTCTTAACTTTCTTCTTTTTCTTCTTGTCATTTTGTCCTTTAGATTCCCTTTCATTTCTAGAAGGCATGGCATCCTCTTCAGCTATGTCAATTAAGCTGCTTACAGGGTCTTCGGACATCTTCTCTGGCTCCTCTGAATGTTGAGCAGCTGCAAAGTATTTTAATAAAAATTGAAAAATTCCAAATGCCAGTCTAGGACAAACAAAGCCAGCAGTTGAACAGCTTAGAATTCTAATTATATAATCTTGCCTTTTTTCTTTCTCTTTTGCTTCTTTTTTCGACTTGGGTCCTTCAAATCTTTCTCTATGATTGGGATTGTAGACACTTCTTCACATTCTTGCATTGTCTCATTCACATCTTCTTGCTCTGGAGATAGCGGAGATGAAAAAATTAAAAAACACAGAAGTGTTTTTTACTATTACCCTACCTCATCCATAAATGCTACAAATACAACAACATCCAAGCCTTATTCCCAAAAGATTTTGGGGTCGGCTGACATGAATCGATCCATGATATTGGAGCCGAAAAGAGAAGATAAGAAGAATAAAAAGATAAAGTAAGATAAAAAGTACTCCCTCCGTCCCTGAAAATACTTTTTTCCAACTTTCCCTTTTCGTCCGTCCCAAAAAGAACTTCACTTTCCCTTTTTGGCGAAGAATTTGTGGTTCACAGCATTTCTCTCTCCTCTGCACAACTCTCCACCACACAATTTCCACTTTCTTAATCCGCGTGCCACTTTATTTTGGAAGTAAATTCAGGGACAGAGGTAGAATAAAAACAACATAAGAACATAAGAAAGATAAAAAAAAAAAGATAAAAGAGCATAAGAAAGATAAAAGAGCATAAGAAAGATAAAGCATAAAAATAACATAAGAACATTTAAAGATAAAGAGGATACAAGAAAAAGAAAAAGAGAGAGAAGAGAGATAAAATGCTACATGGCATTTTATTACATTCATAGAGGTTTTCTAGCTATTTAATACTCATTTTATCTTGATGTTATAATAAGAACGGAGGGCTTATATCTCATATTCTCAACCAGCCCATGACAACAGAGAAAGCCCTACTTAGCATGCCCTATGCCCCTATTACCTGTTTTCTTGGTTTTTGGCTTCTTTTTATGACTGGGGTCTTTAGCATCCTTCTTCCTTTTTGTTGTGATTTTATACACTTCTTCACGTTCTTCTTCTTGCGTCTCATTCACAACTTGTTGCTCTGCAGACAGTGAAAATGCAGTGTGTGTGTTAACAACTGAACCAATAATGCAGTCATATTTCCATTGACAATAAGGCTTAAAGATAAAAAATAAAAATAAATAAAAACATCCTGCATATGTACTTTGTACATCAAGAAACAGGACACTGACCTTCATTGCTATAATGAGAATCAAAAACAAAATCCATAAGATGCTGCTTTAAGAAAACCTGCATGGAAATTCAAAATTACATGAGACAAGGGGGGCAAGCAAGCTACATCACAAATCTGGGAAATCCCATGAAGACAATTTCAAAGGAAATCCCAATTCCCAAATTATAAATTAATGTAAGCTCTTTAATACTCAATCAACTAAGGGTATGAACTGATGTTTATTAATCAACAGCAGCTTATAAAATACCGCAGATAGGAGTTGCCTGGACTTCACATTCCAAATGCGCAAATAGCTGTCCAGCCCTGTGAACATATAGGTGTTTGTTTGATATTACTTTCTCATGTTTGGAAAAGAAGTCGTGTAGACATTAGACTATTAGAGAATAAAGAGGTAAACTAAATAGTTAGTGACATTCTTGGATAAATTCATAGCACAGTCTACACAGTGTAGTCAAAGTTTAATGGCAATATGCATCTCATCACCTCAAAAGAGATGGGGGTACAACAACTAACAAAAACAAAGAAACTCACCACATGAGCCTATCACTGGGAGCTCAGGATGTCTAGCAATGGACCGTATACTTCCAGAACATTTACCAATGAAGCACCCCAAAAGCTTCCCTAGAGTGTTGCCAAACAAAGTTAAACCTCCTGATAACAACTTAATCTATAAAGCATCATAATCATTCCATTGAAACTAAGAGGATAATGCTTTAATTCAAACTGCAAAACATAAACTGCACTACAAGTTTGCATGCTCGTACACTAAGCAACTACGCAGCAATTTTGCATCCAACCTGCAGTACACCTTTTGTGGCCATTGCTATGCAAAATCAAGTTCGAAGCAGTGTTGTCAATTCCGGATAGCGGAGTGGAGCGGCCTACCCCGAGAGTGCTATAGCAGATAGCGGGATGACCCCTATTTGTATAACTTTTATACAGAATATCACATTATGTGTATACATATAACTACATTATGTGTATTCATATTAGAATATTTCTAACTATTCCACTTCTAATCATGGTTAAGGTTATCTCATATGGTCTTTAAGAAGGCTGTCGGATCAACACTAAACAAGCTTCGGGGCTAGTGGTGGATAACTAAGAAGAGTTGAAAGTAGAAGAAGAAGATCAGTAGTAGTCGTAAGTAATTGAAGAAGCAAGGTCTCCCTGGATTTTGCCAAATATTTTCTGGTTTGGTATGTAATTTTTTGAGCCACAACGCTGGTCGTCGAAGGAGTAGAATAAAGATGACTAAGAAAGATACTTTAAAATTAGGGATGGGTTTTACGTATTTTGAAGGGTTTTCATAGGGTTACTTCTTATTCTGAAAAGCCTACTTTACCCCTTTAGAAAATTTAAAAACCAAAGTTTCAACAAAATTCTCTAATCCTAGAGCAGACAACTCAAAGGTTCAATAGCGCCTCTATTGCGCCCACTCCTAAGCTATGTCCACTACAGAGGCTCTAGTAGCGCCCTGGTGCCACTCCGCTCCGCTATAGCATGCTATTGACTTCACTGGTTTGAAGGGTGAGACACAAAACGAAACTGTAATCACAAACCTCTAATATGGTGATTATATCATAAAAATGAGCATCTAATATGTTTGTTTTGTAAAATAACCCTAAGTTATGTTAAAAGACACTGGAAATTTTTGTAGGTAACCCAGTTAAACTTCCTGTGGTAACCCTTTAATCATTCTGAGAAATACTAAAAACCACAACTTACTCGGGAAAACTTACCTATAGTAATTAATGGTTGAAATTTCAAAAAAAAAAATTACTTAGAGCAAATACATCCCTGTTGAGCATCAGATTGGAACATACTACAATGTTGTTGTAGCATCTTTGAAACATGGATAGTTAAGAGACAGTATTCAAATGAATTAAAAACCACAACCCAGAAGCACTTGAAGATGGAACCACACGACATACCTGTGCGCAAATCAAATGAAGCAAGGTCACCTGTCCCATTGCCTGCATATATTGTCCACCCATCTAGGTCTTCAGTGACAGCTTTTATAGATGTTTCTCGAAAATCAATTGATATCACAGGTCTTCTCTGAGCAGAAATATCGTAAAGACGCACCTGCAATAATAATCAGAAAAACTATATTGACTGCAAAAGGGTTTAATAGATATAGCATTAGAAATAAAATTAGAAAATGGGTCAAGATGGAGATAAGCACTCCTAAGAAACATTAACCAACTAAAGCAAAATCCACTAGTTTTAGTGCACATAATTTTGCAACGCCTGGAAACTTTGGCCAGCAATGGAAGTTGTTGCTCTTTAGGTCCCTATCATTTTTACAAGTACCAAAACCTAAATGTCACAAGATTTTACATTTGCTCTGTATGTGTGTTCACTCATATGACCTTTTATTTCATATCTCCTGTTAATATGAATTGATGGTTGCGGAATAAATAACCATAAATTTGATATAATTATTTGCTTGCCAACGTTTTTGGAAAATTTTGCAACTTAGATAACTCCACCATGATTGTCCCAAGCCAGTATAACAAAGGAGGGTGTTGTAGTAGGCGTGTGATGGACTGATGGCCAAAAGCATAACTTAGTCACATCACATGACATTATCTTTTTATCAATTTTTAAGTCCAGTTTCATATGGATGTTGTATGTTGTTGTAGTCTTGTAGATGACTTTATGAGGAAAAGATAATTAAGTGTTCAGAATGAAGGCATATTCTATTCCCAAATCATTTTTAAGTTTTTGGAAGGGGATTAATCAACGACCTGGTGATGCATTCACAGGGCGTCAGTATCACCGTAAAAGAAAGAAAGATAAAAGTCAGCAAATCACAATGGCAAATCAAACTGATTTGGAAGACAAATAAAATCAAACAAATCTGGGAGACAAATAAATCAGACAAATCTGATAGACATGTCACTGTCAGGGATTTGAGATCCTTAGAGATTTGAGATATCATTTTCTGATTGCAATCTTTGAATTATTGTTTTCTGTTTAATTGTTTTCTTTATTTTATTTTCCAAGCTCTGTAAAGCCTATTTAAAGGCCAGTTGAATGCAGGGAAAAAGCATGCAAGTTTTTAGCAAGAAAAGTCTGACGGAGTTTCTGGAATTCTCAACAAAAAAATCCAACTTGATAAAAGTTTGCATAATTATATTCTTCTTAGTTTTCTGCCCAAACAGTAAACATAGCCAACACTTCCAAAGCTCAGTCTACCCTCCCACTCATCCGAAGGCCTGTGACGAGATCTTGCACACAAGCTGCCCGTAACATTGGTTCCGTTGCCGGCGTCATGGGCGATGGGGTGTTTGCGTCAAAGGAAGAAGTCTCCAATCTGAAAGAATCCATAGATCGCCTTGAACAACTGATGGAAAAATTACTTGCAGATGGAGGTAAAACTGCAACAACAGAAGCTGCCAATCCTGATCAGGCCGTGGTACATGCACCTGACAACATGAATCACATGGCTACTGCTCATGGATCACATTTTGAGTTTCCCCTTTTCTCTGGCACAGAAGATCCACTCAGTTGGCTTTATCGTTGTGAGTTATTCTTCATGAATCAGAACGTTCCCCCTGCAAAACGAGTCTCTATGGCTGCTTACTATCTCACTGGAGATGCTCACTTGTGGTATCACCATCTACGCCAAGACCAGCCCCATATCTCTTGGGAATCTTTTCGAGATTACTGCACCCACAGATTTGGTCCCCCTGGTGGTGCAAATCCATTAGGGGATTTGACAAATCTAAAACAACAAGGCCGTCCAATTGAGGAGTACATCACACAGTTTCAGAACAGCCTAGCACGTGTTCCACCACTTCGTATGGAATACCAAGTTTCCATTTTCACAGCTGGGTTAGATGAGGTCTTGCGCATAGATGTGGAATATCAAAAACCATTGAATCTGACTATGGCATTCAGTGAGGCAAGACTATTCGCGAGAAAGTTACAGCTTTGAACTTCGGCTCATCCCAGAACTTCACGACTGCCTCCAAAGACAGTGCACTGCCCGACAACAACCACCACTCCATTACCACCGGTTGCAGGACCTTCAATAACTCGGTCAGCCCCTCCGTACATGAAGAGGCTGTCCAAAGTTGAAGCAGCAGAACGGCGAGCGAAGGGACTTTGTTACAACTGTGATGAAACATATGTACCAGGACATAGATGCAAACGCCTATTCTGCCTTTGGATGGATGATGACGAGGAAGAAGGGTCTGAAAGTCACATTGAGCCCACGGTTTCCCTTTATGCCATGGCTGGACTTCGTCACCCCAACACGCTTCAAGTGCAAGTTCCATTGGCAGGTAGTTATGTTCTTGCAATGATTGATTCAGGGAACACCCATAATTTCATCAATTCACACACTGCCCTCTCACTCGGATTGCCGATAACACTTTGCCAGGATTTTCGTGTGGCAGTGGCTAATGGAGAAAAGCTACTCAATACAGGTGTGTGCGAACAAGTGAGACTTGGTAAGGCTGGTGCCACATTTCTGATTAATCTTTTTGTCTTACCGATAACGGGGTTTGATATTATCCTTGGGGTAAAATGGTTGGAGGAATTGGGAGATATCGTGTGCAACTTTAGGGAGCAAAGGGTCACCTTTACCATACATGGCCGAACCGTTACTTGGACAGGAGATGCAGCTCCATTTGGCACTACTTTGTACTCTATGCATCCTGCAATCTCTAATGATCAAGCAATGGAGGAGCTTTTGAATTACTTTGACACCATTTTTTCTGATTCTATGGCACTGCCTCCACCACGCAATTGTGATCACCGAATTATTCTAAAAGCTGGGACAGATCCTGCTGTTGTACGACCGTATCGCTACCCGCAACTGCAAAAGGATGAAATTGAGAAGCAGTGTTTGGAGATGCTAAAAAGAGGACAAATTCAGCCAAGTCGAAGCCCGTTTTCATCTCCAGTACTCTTGGTTACAAAAAATGACAACTCATGGCGCTTTTGTGTAGATTATCGGGAACTCAATGCACAGACCGTTAAGGATAAATTTCTCATTCCGGTAATTGATGAGCTCTTAGACAAACTTCACGGATCTCAGTTCTTCACAAAGCTCGACTTGCGCTCAGGGTACCATGAAATACGAATGAGTCTAGAAGATGTTGAAAAAACAGCATTTCACACTCACCATGGACATTTTGAATTTCTCGTAATGCCCTTTGGCTTGTGCAACGCACCATCCACCTTCCAAGCACTTATGAATGAGGTATTCGGGCCCCATCTTCGTAAATTTGTCTTGGTCTTTTTTGATGACATATTAATCTACAGTCACACTTGGGTGGAGCATCTACAACACATTAGAATTGTGTTTGGATTACTCCAAACTCATCAATTGTTCCTAAAAAGGCAGAAATGTGTTTTTGGCGTGCTAAAGGTAGCTTATCTCGGACATGTGATTACTGGAAATGGGGGTGGCAACAGATAATTCAAAAATTCAAGCGATCATTGATTGGCCTATACCAGTCACAACCACTGCTCTTCGCGGATTCCTGGGCCTAGCTGGTTTTTACCGACGTTTTATCAGGAACTTTGGTGTGCATGCAGCACCTTTAACTTCACTCCAGCATTTTCATGGTCCAACGAAGCTCAAACATCATTTGACAAGCTCAAAACTGCCTTGTCCAGTTCACCAGTATTGCAATTACTCAACTTCTCCAAGCCATTCCTAATTGAGTGTGATGCATCAGGGGTGGGTATTGGAGCAGTTCCACAACAAGACAACCACCCCATTGCCTTCTTCAGCAAGAAGCTCGCAGACCGCCACCTTAAGCTACCGGCATATGAGTGTGAACTGATAGGCTTAGTACAAGCCATACGAAACTGGAGGCACTACCTTTGGGGCCGCTCTTTCGTGATCAGAACTGATCATTACAGCCTAAAATACTTACTGCAACAGCGCCTTACAACCTCACCACAACAACATTGGATGAGTAAACTCTTGGGCTTTGATTTTGAAGTCGAATACAAACCTGGAAAACTGAACCGCGTGGCAGATGCTCTATCACGGAGGGATGCAAATCCAGCAACCCTCATGGCAGTTACTATGGTTCATGCCCAGTTAATGGAGGATTTAAGGAAGCATTATCAGCACTCCAAGGAAGGCCATATTGTTATCAACAAAGCAGCAACACAAGGGGGGATTCTAATTGGTCTGTCCATGATGGTGTGGTCTATTACAAGACCAAAATATATGTGCCAACCGACTTTAATTATATCCCTACCATCCCCGCAGCAGTTCATAATGCTACTCATGAAGGGATTCAAAAGACTCTTCATCGCATTAAAAGAGAATTCTATTGGGAAGGCATGGCATCTTCTGTACAAGACTTCATCACCAATTGTGCTATTTGCCAAAAAAATAAATGGGAAAACTTGCACCCAGCAGGTTTACTACAACCCCTACCAATCCCTGAACACATATGGGCTGATATTTCAATGGATTTTATTGACGGGCTACCCAAGGTCAGAGGTAAATCTGTTATCTATGTAGTGGTGGATCGATTCTCCAAATACGCTCACTTTATGGCATTGTCACATCCCTACACAGCAGCGTCAGTGACTCATTCCTTTTTCTCTAATATTTTTAAGTTACACGGCCTGCCTGAAACAATAGTCAGCGACAGAGATGCATTTTTCACAAGCTTATTCTGGAAGGAACTCTTTAAGTTATGTGGCACACACTTGGCATTTTCTTCATCTTATCACCCACAAACGGATGGTCAAACAGAAGTTGTTAATCGCACACTCGAAATGTACCTCAGATGTATGGTAGGAGATCACCCACGCAGGTGGGTAGACTGGCTGCCGTGGGCTGAGTTCTGCTATAACACCTCTCTCCACTCGGCTTTGGGTACTTCTCCCTTCAAGGTCATAACTCATATATGGCCGCGAACCACCGAGGCTTATATCCTACGAACCAGGATCATCCAGAATAGAAGCAGTAGACGCTGTTTTGAAGGACAGAGATGCAATCCTGAGCGCTGCTCGGAATCACCTCATACGTGCTCAAGACAGAATGCGTCTTGCATATGACAAAAACCACCGCGACGTTGTGTTCAAGGAGGGACAATGGGTTTGGCTTCGCCTACATCCATATCGTCAATTCAGCGTAACCAAACGGACATCAGCAAAATTATCTCCACGGTATTTTGGACCATTCCAGATCGTCAAGAAAATTGGAAAAGTGGCATATAAGTTGGCCCTTCCGGAGGGTAGTAAAGTCCATGATGTTTTCCACATTTCATTACTAAAGGAATTTAAGGGAGCGCCACCAGCACAGTCTCCCACACTACCTAATCTGCACGACGGTAAGCTTCTGCCACAACCAAAGGAGGTCTTAAGGGGTCGTCTTAACAGGGGCAGAAAAGAGATTTTAGTTGTGTGGTCTGGCATGCATCCAAATGAGGCCACTAGGGAGGATGTCGATGAGTTCAATCTTCACTTTCCTACCTTCAAGCTTGAGGACAAGCTTGAGGACAAGCTTGATCTCAACGAAGGGAGTAATGATGCATTCACAGGGCGTCAGTATCACCGTAAAAGAAAGAAAGATAAAAGTCAGCAAATCACAATGGCAAATCAAACTGATTTGGAAGACAAATAAAATCAAACAAATTTGGGAGACAAATAAATCAGACAAATCTGATAGACATGTCACTGTCAAGGATTTGAGATCCTTAGAGATTTGAGATATCATTTTCTGATTGCAATCTTTGAATTATTGTTTTCTGTTTAATTGTTTTCTTTATTTTATTTTCCAAGCTCTGTAAAGCCTATTTAAAGGCCAGTTGAATGCAGGGAAAAAGCATGCAAGTTTTTAGCAAGAAAAGTCTGACGGAGTTTCTGGAATTCTCAACAAAAAATTCCAACTTGATAAAAGTTTGCATAATTATATTCTTCTTAGTTTTCTGCCCAAACAGTAAACATAGCCAACCCTTCCAAAGCTCAGTCTACCCTCCCACTCACCCGAAGGCCTGTGACGAGATCTTGCACACAAGCTGCCCGTAACACCTGGGTAGAGAGGCAATGATGAGACAAAAATAACTATGATCATGGGATGGGCTATGTTTTTGTTAGGCAATGCAAATTGGAATGGTGCTCATGCCCCAGCAACATCAATAGAAGTGTTTGACACACTAAAGTTTACATCCCAGATATTAAACCGCAGATGCCGAATGAAAAATCACAATTCTAAGAATTGTGAAATTAATGCAAAACTACCCCTGAAAGCAGAAGAGCTTAGTTTCCTGCTCAACATTTTTTCTTTTTTCAAACTCCATGCAAAAACACAAAGAAAGCTAAAAACGAAAAATATTTAGACCAGCCTCTTAGATTGGACTTTTAAAGACAGTTCTTTATTTAGTATTATACTTGTTAGTAGCTTTATAGACTTTAGTAAGACTTAGTTCAGCCTAAGACTGCAATTTAAAACTTGATCAGTTAATCTAGTACCCTTATTCTGACTAATAATTTCAATGGCAGGCCATTTACAGGTAGTCCACACATCAGCTAACTCTCAATCTGTTGGCATATTGGCAGTGATTTTAGTTCTATAAGCAATAAAACAAAATCTTAATTTCACGAGAAAAGAAAAACTAACGCTAAAATAGAGTACTAGGTCAACAAGAAATTACCAGTTCAACATAGAAGTTCTATGAGGGCTTTATAATATGTTATAGGGATCGTGATTTAAGTAGGCACCATGAGGAACCACCCAGGATAAATGTTGATATTGAACTCGTTTTCAAACTAAAATATTATCTTTAGAGAACTCAAAAAGATCATCCTTAGATATTGACATCCACAAAAAGATTCAATATCCAATTACCTGATGGCTATTAGTTCCAGCTACAACTTTGCGATGATCATCCTTGCTTAGGAATGTTGCAGATGTAAACCAAGTTGGCGTAAATATGCCAATGCTGTTTTTAGGAGGCTACACGAAATGAATGCATGAGGTAAAACATGAGCCAAGCAGCGAATGAATATAACTGTTTGTATCCAGATGTACACTCATAAGAAAACTAAAAAAAACTTACAGATCTTGCAGCCCAGACTTTCTCACTTTTTTCTAGATCCCACACATTGATTTCAACTCCCTTCCTGAAATTTCAATTTTAAGGCAAATCCAGCATCCATAAAATAGTTCCCAAGAAAAAGCTTATTTTTCAAATGTAATATGGCTACAGATTTTTACCCCCCGAACAAAGCATAATTTTCACTGCTGTCAACTTTGGAGCACAAAATGTTACCCGAACCACATGCATTCCATGTGGTTTGAGAGGCGTCAGAGGTTGAGTCTCCTGGTGACTTGGGGAATTCAAATGACCTTATACTTGCATGTCCTTTTGTTGTGCATGTAAGTAAAGTACATGACCTAAAATGAAAAAAATGCAGAAACATTTAGACAGGAGATGCCAAATGAATCAGAGTGAGGAATGTTCACAAGCACATGAAACAAATATACAAAATTAGCACCTCGTTGATGACTCCATCCTCTGTTTTCTGAAAAGATGTAATGCAACAATAGCATCATCATCACTCACACTGCTACTTATACTAGAGCTCGGAATAGTAAGCCGGACATCACCGTTGATAGGGCTAAGCACCTCAAGCTATCAGCACAGATATATTAAAATTCTGATAGGAAACAGGCATTCACAAAACTTTCATTCCAGCTTCTTTTAAACAGACCTCTACAGTTCTCAAATTTCCCTTTGGTTTCACAACTTATCAACTAATAATTACTCTGCAAGTTTACATGATACAATGGTAAAGTGATTGTCTTTAGAGAAAAAATTTACCATGCCATTTTTTCTTGCAACGCCAAGAAGCTGAAACAGTCAAGCAAACAATGAAAAAAGGCCTTAGGTCTGGATTTCAACAGGAAATCAACAATGAGGAATATTAATAGAGTTCAACATACAGGGTCATATTCGCGGTCAATAATGGAAGTGGCTAGCACGCATCTTGAAGAATCCGGGTCACCCCACCGCTCCACTACCGCCGGAGCTTCCTGTTTTTCGCCGCCACGAGCTTGAATCACTGTACAAAACTACAGCTAAGTGATGGGCTTTCATTAACGTTGGTTGTGAACATTTAATCGGCAAAAATGCATTTTTCTTTGTGAAAAAGAGAGACAAAAGGACACCTTTAATGAGGCCAAGAGTATCAAAGGTTAATGCTCGGAGGCGAGGGCAGCCAGGGCTCTCAGAGCAAATGGTACGCGGCATAGTTGCTTCCTTCTTCCTCGGTCAGGCAATGCTTTCTTTTACCTAGTTTGTTACGTAGTACGGAGTATTATGTTGGCAAATCATACAGACACAACAAAACGCTCAAAAACCAACAAACCTAGCGTGCCACAATCAGCCCAAACTCCATACGTATGCTATCTTCTATTTTTTTGAATGGAAAAATACTTATATTAAACTTAATATACACAATAAATTTAAAAACTTACACAAAATGGGAAAAGGAAGGTCTCTAGGACTCCTGCAAGGCGGGAGGCGGAAGCCTTGAAATTCCAGTTTGCCGCAAGTCGAGCGGGTGCAAGAGAAACTGAGGAAGGTGTGAAGTTGGTCGTTGGTTCGCTTGGCTGCCGCTGAATGGCGACTGGCTTGCTGAAGTTGCTGCGCAAAACGGTCGAGAAGCGTCGTTCACTCGTTGGCTTGCTGCGCAGAAGAGGCTGCTTCACTGCTTCTGTCTGGGCACTTGGACTGTTGGGCAGATGTGTGATGGGCGGCCTGCTGCGTGGGAGACTGCGTACCCTACTTCAGTTGTATTAGTTCGGTTCTGAAAAAATTTTGATGAATATATTTTCAAATTTGAAAATTGAAAATTGGAACATGAAAACACAAAATTGAAAATAAAAAAATTGGAAAATTAAAACATAAAATTGAAGAACGGGAAACCAAAAAGAAAACTGAAAAATGTCTCTATTAGTAAAAGAGCTCTAATATAAATAGGTATACAATAAATTCTTTGCTTTGAGAAGAAAGAAAAGTTCATGTTTTTTAACAAAGAAAATTTTATGGTCATACACCCTTTAAAGTACTACCTCCGTCTCATTTATATTGTCTATTTACGGTTTACGATGTTTGAACGATAATAAAGCAAACGAGATCCTTGTCCGCACTCAAATTATTTTTAGCAAAAAAATTACATATTCAGAAACTACATTTAAAGCTTTACGAAGTTGCAAAACCTGAATCAAATTTGATAAATTTTTTATATATAAAGTAAGAAATTAAAAGTGATTTGTGTTGACCAAGTAAATACGAATTGGGACAATATAAATGAGACGGAGGGAGTAATATTTAGGAAAATCATGAAAAGCTATGGAAGATATTAAGATGTTGACGATCCTTGTAAATTTTAAAAAATTTGAGGTAACAAAATGGCGCATAAAAGTAGAACATAGAGAGCCCGTTTGGTGACTCTGTTTTTCAGCTTATCAGCTAACCTTTTAACCAAACACGTAAATTTTGATTCGTGCGCTGAATTGTGTAATAATAAGAAAAAGTAAGGTTGGAGTTATTTTTTTTACTGTATTGACTGAAGTTACTCTAAATGACCATTTTAGCTATTTTTCATACAATATTTTCTTTATTTTATTAATAAAATATATTTTCGACGCGATTTTCATCATGAGTCATTCAGAAATAGTCTTTTGTGCTTCAAGCACTGTTTGCAAATGCTTAAAAAAGCACATCTCATCTTTTTTGGAGAGTAAAAAGCTAAAAGTAGTGTTTGCAAATGAAAATTTATGCTTAATTTAAGCAATTTTAAGCCAAAAGAACAAAGCTAGATTAGATCTGCTTTTAGGTGCTTCTAGGTTTTTTTGTGAATAAGACCAACTTTGGGGATAAATCATATCCTTGGATATGCAAAATACCCTTCTTACCCTTCTACCAGCTGCCCAGTTGCTACAATGAACATCATGTCATCCCTCAGCTTTTTTCTTCAATGAATACTACTCTACGCTAATTAGCAAGAGAACTCTCATAGTCTCATGGTAGCTCCGGTGGGTAGCCCGTCTATGAATGATAGTCTCCCGCCTGCAGTGAGGTAAGACAATACCCTATTGTGCAAGTAGACGATTCTGGCATGTCTACTTGGTTGCCGGCCAGCTGCTGGCACTTGCTATTGAGGCCGACAAATCTAGTTTGGTAGCTGCAATTGATCTGATCTTCAAATGTTGCTTGTGCCTCATGTGGTTGCCGATCAGCTAAAGGAGAATGTGAATTACGTAAAGATTTGTGTTAGTGGGATGAAAAGTAAATGCTAGGTCAAGGACAGTTTTGTATTTTCACTAAACATTACATTTTTTTTATCATCAAAACATGCATCTATTCATATCAAAAGATTCATCAGGATCATTACATCAAGCAAGGGGAAAATAAAACAGACACCAACTGAAACTCCAACAACTACGACTGTAACCCTATGGTGAGACTTTGAGACGGTCACCCCTGAGAGAGCAACACGAATCACTAACCATGTAGTGAGCTTGACACAGCCAAAACTATTCCCATAGATCCAACCATACCCAATGACATAAAGAGAGGCAAAAAAACTCAAACAAACTGTCAAACCCAACAACAAAAATGGACGCAAGAAAACAAATAACAATCAGATAAAAACTACAAGAAAAACGTTCAAAACGTTCACGAACTCTAGCACCTCGTGCATCCCATGGTGGTGGTTCAGGAGGAGGTCGTACCACTGGTACCATGCTAATTGATCCTCCATGACCTTTGGCTGCCAAAGACCATGCATCAATCCTCCGTCCCTGCATAACCAAACTCATTCCTGCTCCGTGCGACCAGAGTAAGCGAACAGGCGGCGCCGATCTTCTCCAATGATGACAGCAACGCCGCATCCTCGAACCTTGACTACAGCGCCGATCTCCTCGAGCCATGACAACAAATCTGCCGTCCTCCACTGATCTCCGCCCTCCGCGTCTGACCTGGACTCCAGTCGAGCACCAGCGACCAAGGGATAACAAAGCCGATCTTCGATAAAGTCGAAATCGGAAAAAGGCTCCTGCGGCCGACATAGTCAAAGCCCTAGAGAGAAAAACTCATGATCGCTCTACCTTAGCCAAAAGCAGACCACTGCTCCGCGGCCAGATATGCGAACAAGAACAGCCGAACTTCGATCAATATGATCGAATTCAGAAGAAAAAAAAAGCCTAGAGGCGGCGTCCTAGTTCAATGTATTATCAACACGTGCAGCCAAATCAAAACTTGGCTGTGGTTTTAGATTAATGACATCATCACAGGCAAAACTTCATCAAATTAAGCAAGCACGATTCATGAATGCTAATGGAATGGAAGATCGTTGCGTGGAATGAAAAACAAAGAAACAGAGCAACAGGTCTCGAGGGGATTCAACTGCGGCAGCTTTAGGGCCTGTTTGGATGGAGTGTTTGGAAGTGTTAGTAATGGAAGTGTTAGTAAGTGTTAGTAAGGGCTCGGAAGGGAAGGGAAGTGTAAGTGTTAGACATAATTTTACCTTGTTTGGGAGAGTCAAATGAATGAAGTGTTAATAATGGAAGTGTTAAAGAAAGAGTAAAGAAAGAGTAAAGAGAAGAGATGAAAAAACAAACCATCAGACCCGTGGGAAAGACATTCGAAGTGAAATGTCGAAGCATTTTATGTTTTTCGGGCAAATGAGAAGGGTAATAATTGTCCAACACCTCAAAACACTCCAAATCGGGGTGTTAAAAAAATGGACAATTGAGGTGTTGGGAAGGTTATTATTAACACTTCCTAACCATTACTAACACTTCTTAACACCTCTGGTTTTTTCTCCCAAACAAGTGTTAGCATCAACACTTACTAACACTTCCATTACTAACACTCATCAACACTCAATCCAAACAGGCCGTTAGGGTTTTGAAGATCTTATTACATCGTACTGACAACCAAAAAGTTATAATTTGAATTACACCAAACATTACATTATAAATCACCTTTTTATAAAGACTTTAGCTTTAACACTTTAAATAAAAAAATCTATTTCCAAACAATACATTCTTTTCACTATATATTGTTTTTTAAATAATCTTTTTAAAAATTCACTTTAGAGAAACACAAGCAAACGCAAACACTACCTTAGTATATGAGTAAGGTTGCACACATCCGACCTCTTACCCCACCTTTGTTGGAAAGCCATTGCGGCATTGCAGTAATGTCAGTTGTTATACCGTGGGAGAGTCCCACGGTGAGCATTGTTACTCCCACAACCTTTTAAACATATTTTTTGTTTTCAATAGGAAGGTGATATAACTCGTATGTAAAGACATGTAACTCACGTTGATGAGCATGTAATTGTAGGTCAGTTCCAATGTAACTTGTCTAATACAGAGTATGAGAAATAAAACATTAATCTCAATGTAGACAATGAAGAAAGAGTCTAATTGCTCAATTACTTGAGGTAAATAGTGAATATGTTTTGTTTTTAATATTAGAGCCACAAAAAATTGATTAAAAAACTTTTTTTTCAATAGTAGGGATTTATTTTGTGATGTAACTCATGTTATAACAAATGTAACTTGTGTCTACGAAAAATGTAAGGTAACTGTATGACTTGTTGAAGCAAGTCTGATCTAAATATAACTTGCACGTAAGAAGATGTAAATGGAGTGTAAAAAGATGTAACTCCATATCTTAAAAAATTATAAACACCAATGATGGTAAGGGTGCATAAGAGATGGAAAAAATGTTGGTGTAATAAGAAGCAATAAAAGGTTGTTTAGTATGCATCATAACTTGTACGTTTCAATTGTTTGGCTATTCTAACCCTCTTCTTCCGTTTGTATTAATTGATCTCCGTTAAGTTAAACAGAACTCCCCAAATACGTTTCCTTGGTGACTCTTTAGTTCAATTCAAATTTAACATTTATTTTGGTTATTAATAAAAAATCTTTTACCTCTTTCCAATAAATAGAAAATTCCATTGGAATTAGGCTGCAGGTCTCATACTCTCATCTCCAAACATATACAGTGCTTATAAATTTTTAAGATATGTAAGATATATTTGACATGAAATGATATTTTTAAAACTTAATAATTGTTAGCTTTTAATGATTAAAAAGATTTTAAAAGAAAAAATGGTTAAGTATTTGATAAAAAGTTGATTGTTTGATTTAGTTATATTTCTTATACAAGTTGTTATGATTAATTAATGTTAAAAGTTACAGACTTTTCTCAAATGTTATTCAGTGTAGCTTTTCAAAATAAAACTTTTGTTTAGATAAAAACTCTTAAAAATTATCCTGCCAAATATACGAGTACAAAATTTTTAGATCTTTTTAAATAGTAGAAAAGGCTAGAAGGTATAACTTATTCCGGCTAAACATGCTCGTAGTATATATTAAGATTTTGATTGATAATGGCTTTTGCACTATTCCCGTAAAATAGAGATTATTTTTTAGGCTATTAGGGAATTTTTACTTGAATTGTAATTTTCTGACCTTGTTAGTTTTGATCCGGTATGATCGGCTCTATTTAAGTCTGGTCTGGTTTGATGAATTCTCATGCATGGCCTATGTGTATTTTATAACGATCGAAGCCCGGTCTGATCTGATCGGTTTAAGTCTGGACTGCTCTGCTTAAATCCGATATGGTTTGTTTTGGTTTGGTCGGGGACTGCAATCGGTCCCAATAAAAACATCGTTATTTATCAAAATGTTCATCATACATCGTCTATACAGTGTTTGGTAGATCTTTTTTACTTTTCTTGGGCCGCAAATGTTCAGTGTTTTTTTATATACGGAGTATGACTCCTACTCCAATATATAAGTTGGTTTTATAGTAATCACAAGAACAGCAATATAGAAATGATACATAGGAATGACAATTATATTTGTGGTCATCAACACTTAAATGAACTTCTAACAACTATAAGAAATGTCTAACATAATAGTATGTTGGGTGAAGGTCGATTCGGTTCTGTGCTTCTCACTTCAAGCAAACTAGACCTAAATCAGATTTGGTAGTTATTGTGGAGATGTTTATAAAAGAATAATTTCAATTTCACGGCGTTGCTGATCATAAGGGATTAATGTATACGTAAATATCCTTACATCACCCTAAAAAGAGCGTCCAATTCTGCTTGTACCATGTGATTAATAGAAGATAATAACTACCATTTTAAAAGAGCGCCCAATCCTTACATCCACTCTCCTTATCACACAAGTTATAATCAAACTTCGAAACATAATCATTGTCGTTCTAATATGCATATCATATCGTTTGAAAGAGTGGATGTTCTTCTTAAATTCACACTTGTATTGTGAATGGTATTGGGCTACTGTCCCTCACGCGCAACGCGCGTCAAAAAACTAGTATTAATTATATGTGTGTATGCGACTGTGCGTGTGTGTATAAACCAATTAACACCATCGAACCACTTCAAGAGAATGGAAAAATTCACATTTATCTGAATTTGATTAAAGCGTAGCCTTAGATGTTAAATCAAATCAAAGATTTTTCTTTCAATTTTAAAAGGTTATGCATAAATCTTCCTGGGATAACAGCTTCATTCATTTCTTCCATACCACATTCTCCTTGAGAGATTGAAAAGCAACCCTTATGTAAAAACAATAGAAATAGATTCTACCGTTTGGAGTACCCAACATGAAATGGCTCTCGTCTGTTGTTGCCAGGGGCGTATCTATCGTGGGGGCAGGGGGGAAGCTGCCCCCACTCAACCCCACCCAACCCCATTATATATATAGAAAATATTTAAGCGTATAAATATTTCATTGTTGTAAATAAGTTATATCGTGCGCCTTGGTCTGCTGGACGGAGTGTCAACCCACTTGGAGAATGTTGGATGTTCAAAACTTATCCACTGCACCTTTTTATGGACTTATTTTTTTCCCTTTTGAAGCTTTTTTTATAGCTCAAATATCCCAATCAATTTAAACTAGTGTTTTTTTAGTGTGACTATAATTGATATTCTCTTCGTTCCATAAAAAGATTCCAATTTCCATTTGTAGACGTCTCATATAAATGTTCTCATTTCCATTTAAGAAAATAATTAAAAATCTTGTATTATAACATTATAGTTATTTCTGTAAAAAAAACATTATAATTATACATACTAACATCAATATATTATATACATATTAAAATTATTTCTCAAAATATACTCGAACTACCGTATTTAATTATTATCTAAATAATTGTACCATTTTGACATGAGAACCTTACAACGGGACGGAGGTAATATGTAATTTCAATCACATCTTTTCACACTTAATATTGAAACATACCTGTTTATTTGCAACTTGAATTAGTTATACTTACATATTTCATACATTTCTTACATTTTTTATTAAAATATTGATTGTTCAATTAATATTTATTTCTGAAAACTGTGTGGTAGTTTTACAGTGTTAACCTGCCTGCCCCCACTGACCAAATTTTCTGGATACGCCAAGACTAGTTGGTAACAACTAATTCTGATTTGTTTGAATATATAGAAACACCTAATAGAGATAACTTCTGGAATTTCAATACTATTGGTAATGACTGGAGTTTGGTTCTCCTCAATTACACACCTTGACAAGCCAAAGAAAAAACTTGAAGCCCCAAAGCAAAAGTGCCTAACTGAAATATGAGCCATCCATTCTCAAAATAATTGGAGGGCACTGTTCTACACTACAAACATACAGAGTGAGTGAGTGAGAGAGCGAGAGACCGAGAAGAGTGTTTCACTTGCTCCCATTCAAAATCAAATGGAAACCCTAATAAAATGCAGAGTAGAAAAATGTACTCGTGAAACTGCAATTCAGAACAATGAATCAGAAGTTGCTGCAGATAGCAAGAAGCCTCGCATGCTACTAGGCAAGAACTGCTCTCATGTTGGCTGCAGAAGAAGAAGATGCTGGTGCATCACCTTCCCCAAAACCTATCCTACCTCAACCAATATTGGAAACTGACATCTGTCTCACAAACCGAGTAAAACTAACCCAATTCCGATATTCGAACAAGTTCTTGTCCATCCGGACAAAGTTGAAGGAAAACGACGGTTTATCCAAACCACCCGAGTAGAACTTCGACATCTTCAACACCTGCTCAAAGGATTTGTCATCCAAAGTGGTCGTGGAGTTTTCACCCACAAGTGGAAGATCACAGTTTCGTGCAGCAAGAAGTAGCTGTCTTAGAAAACCTTCAGGGCTGCTCACTGGATTCACCTGTTGCTCTTCCACGTCTTGCATCTCGAAACATGCACAACAAAGCGTGAATCCATATCTACCAAACATGCGAGCAATCGGTAGGAGTCCATCTTTGATTGAGGTGTTGTAATAGCCAGCTGTTGGTTCTGATGGGTGAGATGACGTACCATAGTGCCAATGGACCCTGCCTATTTTACCTGTCAGATTGACCTCAATGCCCCTGAAAACAGTTGCTGCTTCCTTGCAAACCCTTTCTCCATGAAGCAAAAGCATCCAGAGTACCATTTCAGGAAGAACTCCCCATATGGTGTGTTCCAAGAACCCTCGCTTCTGAAGAACTCTGTGCTTTCAGGGTTGTGCATCAAGTTGCTAGCACCAATGGGGCCCCCATTTGCCCATTCACGCATCCCTATTTCCCAAGCACATGCACTCTGAGAAGCCAGCATATACTGCCAACCAAGAAGAAAATAGTCAAGTCCCATAGGATATTGTTTGGGACTTAACGAAATCAAACCAAAACAGATCACACAGAACGGAGTTAACCAAACGCGGTTTGTGGTTTGCGGTTTTGGATTTAAGCTTTACAACCAACCAAACTGACAAAGCATGATTGACCTAGACAAACACAACTAAGTTATTCTGTTCGGTTTAAGGTTTTGCATTTTTTAAACCAGACCGTAGAAGAGCCCTAATATTACTACAGTAACAGCTCTGAAAAATTCAAGTGCAGGATACCTTATCATAGCACTGGAATTCACCAAGTTCAGGTGAGCGCCATGTCCTTGCTAGCTTTAGTGAAGGGCATGAAGGATATCTTAATTCACCACCGGGCCCCATTCCAACTTGAATCCCCTGTGAATAAAGTATCAGGTTCAATCTAACATATCCTTTGCAGGTAAGGTATTGCGGAGTATTAAACACAATAACATAAAGTCACGACACAAAGAAGCATCTTACAGTTATGGTGGTTCCCAGATATGGTCTAAAGGTGTCCCTGAAATGCCTCATAAAATCAGCATATGCTTGTATTGGAGATCGTCCATGCAGAATGGGAAGAACATCACATCTTAGGGAAACATATTCCATGCTGCGTCTCCCAAACCTATCTGAATATGCTAAATCTTGATCCTTTTTTATGTCTTCTATCACCCATTGAGGAAGAGGGATCCTTGCAGAAAAACACTTGCACAACTTAGGCACATCACACAAAATAACACCATAAATTTAAAAAAAATGATCAAGAATTTAATTTTTTAGCAAGAAAATGAAATTTAATATTGCCATTGAGTCATTGACAGAATAAACTGTGAAAGTATTGACATTTCATAACAAAATTAGAAACATTATCTTAGATCTTATATACGACTAACTTTTCATTAACACAAATCATGCTTCACTCTCCCGTTTTCTAATTTTTATCAAGTTGAACTTCATTGGCTCTCAAAGTAACACCCATAAATCAAGAGAGCATTCTAGGCCAGGAAAGGATGTTTTTACTTGGACTTATTTCAATCCTATACTACACTAAATCTGACCAGACTTCGACAGTTATAAATACACATAAACACGACATTTACTAGACCAAACCAGACCAAATCAGTTCAGACCATGCCAGATCAGACCAGAAAATTCCAGTCCAAGTAAAAACATTCTAACAAAGCCTTCTATGATGTTTTCTGTAGCTAATAGTATGACCAATCAATATATTTTGAAAACTGGGAGCTGACAAATCAATCAAAAGTAGCCTGCAAATAGGCATAATTGGTTACATGTCTTATAGCATTCATCCACCAAAAGATAACAAAGTCAAAGGAGGTCTAAAAGACATGTAAAATTTTATAAAAAACAGCAATGTTCGAATAGGACAAGGTCATTTAGCCTACCACAACAACCATTCATATCCTACCCTCATGGGGTCTGAGGAACGTATATTTTACTGTTATGATCTCTTTCCTCTCAGTACATTACTTCAATGTTTCCAGTAAAAAAGCATTAGACCCCCATCATTGCCTGAGATGTTTAACAGCCCATTCTACTACACCACCAAGAGAAAAGTCTATCGGATAAGCACCATATGATAATAAAATGTACACAAAGCTATACACTGTACAATAAACTCTTAGTTACCTAAATCTTCTAATGCTATAGACTATAGGACTCTTAGTTACCTAAATATCACTGAATAATAAATAAGGGAAACTGGACTTGGATTAAACATTCATGAGATCATGACTGCCTTCCTGCATGGGAGTAAACCACGATTGTAATCAGTAATTGCAATTAGTTGAATTCATGTATGGAGGATTAATCGGGGTCTGTTAAATACACATAACATGAAGGGACAATGGACAATAGGTTACTAGATCCAACGGACATATTAATTGCAAAATAAGAGTGCATTTTATCAATAAACGAGCATTTCTTCAAAATCTCTAGCAAATAGCTATTGGGCTCCTGGATGAAATCCTTAATCCAAAGTCCATATATCCAAGTGGTTCTCATTCACTTCACTGTATGCATGAGTCTTCTACTTCATATATATTGAACCTTCATAACTTTCCATAGTGTACCTGCTCAAGTACATATTACTATTTCTGGCATTACTTACATATATTCACATTTATAACCAACTGATACTTTTGGAAAGTCATAACTTGATACGGTATTCATTTTTGCTTGTGTTTGTACCAAAATCAGAGAACAACAAGTTTAATAAAGACCAAGAGTGTAGACACGTGGCTGAGCAAGCAGAGTATGAAGGACACATGCTCAAACAAACATTCGTAGTATGAAAGAAGAAATAGCTAATGCAGAGACATAAAATAGATACCGAAAAGGGACCCACGGGACAGTTCAAATCTTTATCTTCTTAGCACTCTAGCGGTGACGCCTAAGCACCTTGCATCTACAATGTTGCGTTGTCCTCCATCTTCTGAAAGAACTCGAGCGTGTGGTCTTATTCTCACACTCCAGCCATTGAAGTTTGCAGGTGAGAGCAGCATGGCAATATCCCTTGTGAGAAGGTCCACTTGAACCTCAGCATCAAGGTCTTTTGCATTGGCTTGCACTGCTAAAAGATCATAAGATTTGGTGGCCCATTTTCTGAGCAAGAACAAAATTATGGGGCAATGTTGTATGAAGATCATAGTTGCTCGTCAGATGTTTGCATATATGGTTGAACCTAACCGCTTCAGAAATCATTTGTGCAATTACCGAGCTTAATGATGACGCCCTCCAAAGCGAACTTTCCGAGGGTCAAATCGTAGCGGCTAACTTTCATGTGTTCCATGCGCGAGTTGCTTTCTGAAATAGGCAGTTCGTTGTACTGTGCAGAAGTTATTTTGTGGTTGGACCTGAGAGTATAAAAATAGTTTGTTGGGGGTAGGTAGAAAGGGTTTAAAACCCCATACATAAAGGTCATTTGCCCTAAACATTACTTGGATCGAATCCCTACCCTCGTCACACGCAATAAGGGTACCAAGGAAACATTTCACTCCATGACGCTCTTCATGATTTGTCAGGATGGGTATTGACACAAAACGATCTCCCAAGTACAGGAAATAGCTAGTTAGCAGGTGTAGATAGAAAGATTCTGATAAATGCATTGTACCTGTCTCCGGTGGAAGCGTGTAAACGAAATTCAAATGCCCAATCCATAATGGATGGAGTTGTGAAGATTTATAATTTCTAGTGATGGTAGAATACTTAAATAATAAATATATAAAGAAAATATTATATTGACATGTGCCGATGTATTGGACATTTGAGATGGTAGAATATATTGACCTGTCTCCGGAGAATGTTGTCAACACAACTCCTGAGATATTATCTATCTTTATAATGCCCAATACATCGGCACGGGTCAATATAATATTTTCTTTATATATTTATTATTTAAGTATTATACCATCACTATAAATTATATATCTTCACAACTCCATCCATTATGGATTGGGCTTTTGAATTTCACGTACACGCTTCCACCGGACACAGGTACAATGCATTTATCAGAAGCTTTCTATCTATACCCACACTAACTAGCTATTTCCTGTACTTGGGAGATCGTTCTGTGTCAATACTCATCCTGACAAAGCATGAAGAGCGTCATGGAGTGAAATGTTTCCTTGTTTCCTTAGTACCCTTATAGTAGGTGACGAAGGTAGAAATTCGATCCAAGTAATGTTTAGGGCAAATGACCTTTATGTATGGGGCTTTAAACCCTTGCTACCTACCCCAGCAAACTGTTTTTATACTCTCAGGTCCAACCACAAAATAACTTATGCACCGTACAAGGAACTGATTATTTCAGAAAGTTACTCGCGCATGGAACGCATGAAAGTTTGCCGCTACGATTTGACCCTCGAAAAGTTTGCTTTGGAGGGCCGAGCATTTAACTGTCAAAGTTTAATGGGAAATTTTCAAGTTCAGAAACAGCAAAGGAGATCGTCACTTCATTGTTGGTAATTGCACAAATGATTTCTGAAGCAGTTAGGTTCAACCATATACGCGAACATCTGGCGAGCAACTATGATCTCTATACAATTTTGCCCCATAATTTTGTTCTTGCTCAGAATAAATGGGCCACCGAATCTTATGATCTTTTAGCTGTGCAAGCCAATGCAGAAGTCCTTGATGCTGAGGTTCAAATGGACCTTCCCAATGTAACACTTGAGATTTAATTTAAATGGATTAATAGTACTACTCATACCAACAGAGGTGCATCTCCTTTTAAGGGAGCTCATCACCCAAGAACTCCAAAGTTAAGCGTGCTTGCACGGGAGTAGTCTTGGGATGGGTGACCCCCTGGGAAGTTTCTCAGGGCGCGCATGAGTGAGGACAAAGTGCGCGGTAAAGGCTCGTGGTGGTTTGTGAGGACAGTACTAGTGGTCTGGAGTAACTACCTCGGGTCCTACGTGGCCGGGGTGTTACACCCACAAGGGATATTGCCATGCTGCTCTCACCTGCAAACTTCAATGGCTGGAGTGTGAGAATAAGACCACACGCTTGAGTTCTTTCAGAAGATGGAGGACAGCGCAATATTGTAGATGCAAGGTGCTTAGGCGTCACCGCTAGAGTGCTAAGAGGATAGGGATTTGAACTGCCCCGTGAATTCCTTTTCGATATTTCTTTTATGTCTCTGCATTAGTTATTTTTTCTTTCATAATACGTATGTTTGTTTGTTTGGGCATGTGTCCTTCATACTCTGCTTGCTCAACCATGTGTCGACACTCTTGGTCTCTGATTTTGGTACAAACACAAACAAAAATGAATACTATATCAAGTTATGACTTTCCAAAGGTATCAGTTGCTTATTGAATCAGGTTGTGTGAATATATGTAAGTAATGCCAGAAATAGTAATATAAACTTGAGCAGGGCATGTGCAACTAGAATAAATTAAATATTTATTCTACATTAGTTCACTACTTTGCAGCTAAAATTAAATATTTATTCTACTCTGATTGCAAGACTAACTCTTGTCATATTAATACACTCTTCCATAATCCTCCTGTCATTAGTAAATATACTACTTGTCATATACTCATATTAGTCAATCAAATGAACCAACATCACGGGCCTTCTCGTGTTAGCCTGGGGAAATGTATCAATGATGAATTAGAAGTCCTTAAACTATTGTTACTCTGACAATCAATCCGTAGATATAAAATACAAGGTTTGGCATAGCCTCATACCCTAGGATTAGTGATGTATTCAATTGATTGATTACGCAGTTACGCTTAATAGATAGGACATACATTAGCTAATCTTATAAACAATTGAATCGTGAAATGCTACCCACCATAAGGGATCACCAGGACCTGTGCCACACTGATGAAATGCCATTACAGCTCGAACCTTCAGGCCACATCGTTTAGCCAGCATCACAATCTCCAAATAGCCCTGCCAGTTGTATAAACCAGGTGTTTCCCTCTCCACAAGCCCCCACCACACCTCCATCACAACCCCCTCCACTCCGGCCGCCGTCAGAGCCCTGAATGACTGCGACATAGTCTTCTTCCTCTTCATCTGTCCCAATTGGGAGCTAACGACGTCCACAGGGAGAGTCACGAACACAGAGGATCCCCGCCGGCGGTGGTGCGCCGATACTCCGTGTTGTAGCTCGTAGCGAAGATCACCATCGAAGCCATTGGAGTGGGCGGATGAAGATGGGTCGAGCCTGGAGCACAAAGTGAGCTTCCGAGCTTGGAACCGTGTTTGGATCTGGAACAATCGGGCGGAGCTAACTGCAGCTCAGGCTGGTCCGACCCGACAGCAGCAATACGAGTTCGAGAGCCTCGGAGCGGACGGCGAAGCGATCGCCATTGCTAAGGAGAACTAGCTAGGGTTTATAGTGTTGTTTTCTTTTGTGTATAAGTGAATAATGAGTATACGTGTGTGTTTGTATAAGGTGAGATGCGTGAGAAATGGAACTTGAGATTTGAGAATCGGAGAAGAAACGTGCGAAAGTTTGATTCAGGCGAAACTCCCATCAAAATTCCTTTCTCCGACCAAAAATATATACATCTGACCTGGACGGAGGAGTATATGGTTTTCACCTTTTCCCAAATATTAAAGAGCCTCTTCAACGCTAGAATGTGCACAGTGATATATGACATGAGAAATAACAACATAAATATTTACCAATAAATTATCTCTCTCCTTATTTGAATAGCTTTATACAATTTTGGTATGTTTTTCTCTGCAATGTCAAAATCTAGACGGTATCCTTATTTGTGCGACTATCTCTCATGCTACATGTGCACCGTGCACATTGTAGCATTGGAGATGCTCTTAGAGCATCTCGAATGGGAGGGTGCATTGTAGCTGATGTGGAATAGGAGAGATATATAGATAGAAATATAGAATAAATATTTGGATGAAGTGGTGTGTAGGGACAAATAAAAAAGAGGAGAGAGATAGCGGTAAAAATGGACCAAGGTCTATGACAAGGTCCATATATGGACCTTACACGGGATTCGGGGAGGAAAAGTTGATGAAAAGTGGGTTAAAAGTGATATAAAAAATGTGACTCATGCCGTCATGCGTAAGGGTGTGTAAGAGACCACACTCTTGCATTGGAGTTGCTCTAATCATCTACCTCCTATTGCCACAGCTACTTAAGATCAGAATGAGTATTCGTTAATACATCTTCATTCAGGAGTTTATTTGGGAAAATGTGATGAAGAGGAAGATTTTCTTATCAAGTATCGAGATTTATTTTGAAATAACATTTTGAAAAAAAATTGAAAAAAAAATTATATCAACTATCAATTTTTTTATTATTCAATATTATTCCCAAGTTCCAATAACCTTGTTTAATGAGTCATGTATTAATTTGAAATTATTAAAATACTTCATTGAAAATAGCAAGAAGTTCTATAGAAACTAAGTAAATAAAGGTCATGGTTCAAAGAGAGTTAATAAACTCTATTACTTTTTTTTAAAAAAAAATATGTGACAATGACATGATAATGATAAATTATAAAAATGACACATACACACACACTTATATAAACTATTCGACCCATTGCGTTTCGGGTAACCATGGCGATGGTCTGGAGACCAATCAAAGGTGTTTCAATTGATGAAATTGGCGACTCAAAATTTGTGTTACAGTTCTACCATGAAGGGGATTTCAGTATGGTACTTCAGGATGGACCTTGGACCTTCGAACAAAATTTGGTGGTAATACGGCGTTTAGGGAAGGCGGATAGACCACTTGAGTTGGCATTGGATAGTGTTTATTTTTGGGTCCAGATCCATAACCTACCTCTAAGCTTTATGACAGAGAAAGTTGCACGTGGTATTGAGAACACAATTAGTTCATTCATTGTAGTTGATGAGCGCACGCTGGGAGGTGTTTAGAGATCCATCTTGCGGATTCAGGTGATCATGAATATCAAGAAAGCAATAGTTCGCAGACTACAAATAAGGAAGGAAGTGGGTAACTGGTTTCGGGCAGAATTCAAGTATGAGCGTCTTTCAAAGTTCTGCTTCATTTGTGGAATCTTGGGACATGTTGATCGTTTTTGTCCATATAATACTCACTTTGGATCCTGGACCAGAGAGAAGCCATATGGGGATTGGATGTGTGCTGATATGAGGAGAGGAGGAGTGCATCTGCGCAATAAGCGACTGATCCTTAGCGGAAGTGGAACCGGCTCACGTGAGGAAGAGATTGAAAATATTATGGAAAAGAGCAGTGCGAGTTTTGAGAAGACACACAACTATATAATGGAAGGATTGCTCTCTAGAGGATAAGGCATGCCCGATTCCCAAGAGGAAGAGCCCTAGAAGCGCAAAATGATTGAGCCAAATATCGGAGAGGATAATCAGACCAGCATGAAGGTATATGAGGAGCATCCAAAAAACGGATAGGAGGCGGTGCCAGGGGCACAACACCACCTATCATATTTACTGACACCCTTGAAGATGAGAAGATTTCGATGCTCAAACAAAAGGATAAACTTGCGAGTTGTGAAGAAGTGGCGGTTGACTCTGTCAAGCGAGTGATGGGGGGCCTCTGTGACAAAGAAGATGAACCTTTAGCGGGGCTGGACAAACCGCACTTTCCTTGTCAGTGGTTGGGAAAATTGGATCTCGTTATTCTTATTTTCACTCTTTTTCTCAGAACTCTTTAGTCATATTTATCAATCATTTTAGTAGCAGGTGCAACATTGCTATTCGTGGAGTCTACCACCGAGTAAAGGGTCAGTTTGGTCCTCGAAGTTGCATAAAAGGGGTCAAATAAGTCCTTATATAGAAGATTCTGTTCGGACGTGCCATTTGAGATGGTTCCCGGTGGAACGTTTTGATCAAAAACTTTGAGCATCTTATTCATTAAGTCTAGTGTACTCATACCAAGTTTCAGCTAAAAATTTAATTGGGAAGGCATTCGAATGAATTCTTGAAGATAACTGCGCTTTTAACTGGACAATTATCTTCAAGAATTCATTTGAATGTCTTCCCGATTGAATTTTAGCGGCCAAATTACCAAATTGGTAAAAAAACAAGGTACTTGGACAAATTAGTAAAAAAAATAACTCCGGCATCAAATTGGTAAAAAAAAACGCTCCGGCGTCAAATCGGTAAAAAAATCAACTTTTTCACATATAAACGTTTAACTTAGTAAATTAATAGAAATGTGAGCACTAATCATATTATAGTGAACCATTTCACAAAATATACCAAAAGTTGCATTAAAATGTGAATATTACAAAAAAAGTTGTCCAATGCAGAATGGTTAGTGCAACATATATGCAACATTTTTCCACCAAAAAACAGTCAATGCAAAATGTACCCAACATGTTTTCCAGCAAAAAAGTGAAATCATAGACGCTTTACATTCCAAAAATAACTCCAACATATTATTAAGTAAGTTGAGAGCTTGAATCTTGAGTCGGTTGGCTAGATTGACTTCTACCAGCCGGTTCATGTAGGACAATACTTATAGATGTCATGTTACCTTGAAATGTTACTTGGCCATCACTTGCATAGTATAGGCCTATATCAGGTGGATCTTTCATCCCACTCGAACTCCTCCCTCTTTTTCTTCCCTTTTCTTTTGTCCTCTTTGCTGCAATGGCCTCCAACCATGGCTTTCCCAAGGTTCCATTACCTCCTTGATTCATAACAGTCTCACCATCATTTTGTTTTCTCACAATTTTCACATAATCAGCAGGTTGAGGTGCATTTGCAGCTTCAAGATCTTGCAAACTCCTTCCTACTCTATTTTTGCTACCTTCACTACTAGAAAAAAGCCTATTTGCTGCGGTTATTTTACCTTATTTGCTGCGGTTATGAACCGCAGCAATTGAAGGAGCAGCAAATTCAAAATTTAGTTATTTGCTGCGGTTGTTAACCGCAGCAAATAAGTGTTCTACAAATTCAAAATATCACTTGTTGTTGCGGCTTCTTCACAACCGCATCATATTGTAGATAAATAGAGAGCAACAACATCTACGTGTTTTTTCTAATGATTGCTCAAATAGACAATTTAACATATTTTACATTAAAATAAAGCACATGTTGACAGTATAAAGAAATCATACCTCTATTATTTTATTTAGTAAATGACCAACAACCTCACTTGTCAAATATCATACACACACAAAAATACATGTCTGATGAAACAAAAACTATAATCTTACAATACATTATTTATATACACGGAAGTTTTACAATAAAATAACAGAGACATATAATCAGTTGCCCATGCATCTTGAACTCGAGCAATTTCATCCATTGAGAATGCCTCATCTATCATCAGTTTCAACCTAAAGTATTAAACAATTTCAATTAGTACTTTAATATATGACGTAACCAAGTATCCATTGGCATAATAACTTTATACTGAACATTTAAACATGAGCTAGCTTAGTTGAATAAGTAGGAGCATGCACCTTTTTGTTAAAGAATATTATCACCACACCACTTGAGCAAAACACTCCAAAAATTTGCCCATCTGAAAAAGAAGTTAAGAATTGAGCAAAGCTATTAGGTTATATAAAGAGACAAAAATCCATCAGTCCAACCTGAAACGAATCATTTAATATTACACAATAAATAAAATAAATTGATTCTCCTTTGATTCTTTTATCCACTAACATAATGGATCTTTAGCATCATTGATGTATATTTTTACTTTCAACTCAAAGAAGAGTTTTTAAGAATAAGAAAGAAGGCCAATCAATTCACAAAGATGACTATAATCCCCAAAATGATATAAAGCTACCCTCAACAGAATCATGTTTCTTTCTCTTTTGCCCCTTTAAGGTAGACGACATATGTTTGGATATTCAAAATTGTCCAATCCAAATGCCGGGAACCCATCTCTAGCCAAAGAGATTCTGGAGAGTAAAGAAGACATTTTGAACTCTGCCATTATAGAAAATTACTCAATCGAGTTTCGCCAGAGGCACGTATTATAACATTAGGATCGGGAAGACCAGCCATATACATATTCCTATTAATATTTGTCACCCCAATAATAAGGTTCTTGTTCTTGCCATTTCCATCGATTAATATTTGAACTCTGTTATTTTTCTTCACATGATAGTTTAACTGCATGTACTATCTCATCCGTTGATGTATAGGCAACACAAAACCAACCTGAATCAATCAGGTCAACCTGTTAAAGGCGCTGTTGTGGCTGCGTGCTGGGCGAGATCTAGGGTGATGGCGTGTTACAATGCTGTATTTTGGAGAAAGTTGTTTCTTTGTGTGATGCCTCTCTGGACCTGTTAGGAGCGTCAATTAGAACCCGACTTTAAGGAACTTTGCTTTACTCCATATGTATAAAAAAAATATACTTCGTATAATGTTTACACATACACAAACATATAAAGCTTTTGAAATCAAGAAGTTAACTAACTATTCTGAATTACAAACTTTTACTTAAATTAATGCGATAGTACATCATATCAATAACACAGAGTATACTACAATATTGTCTTATTTGACTTAACCAACTTTTTTACTTGTATATAAGTGTTTCTGTATGCACTTATTTAAGTTTTTTAGTACGTGATATCTTTTCCTAACCTATTTTATCTTTCCTAGAAGTCCCAAAACTGAATCTACTTCCTATAAATAACTATCAATTGTTTTTTAGTTTTCCCGCTAAGACTGCATACTTTTTACCTTGGCATATGGCGGGCACATGTAAAATTACACCTATGTCAAACTGTCCAAAATAAGCTCCCATCTGCAAAAGAAATTCCAGCAGCGAAATAATCAATAAAAAATAAGGATAAGAAAAGTCAATACATTTTGTAAAATTGGGATCATATCAATGCCTCGGGAAGAAAGCATGAAAACTCAATGTTTGTTCAAACTTAAAAAAAACTATCCAATGCAATATTAAAATAGAGGGTGCAAATGCAACTGCTGCATCCAACTTTGGTGCATCAAGTGTGTCATCAAAGAAAGGACAGCCTAACAATGCTTGCAATATCATTCCTGGTGGAGGGTTTGTAAACAAACCATGTTTATCTGCCATCTGCCAACACAAATGCATTACTGAGTAAAACCAGCTTTGCTCAAACAACTTACCATCTCATTCAATATCTTTATAAAGTGCCTCATGAAATAACCTTAACATGTACAACATCGATCATTCTATAGATTGGCCACCTAGCGTTTATAACCATCTATAAATGCTTATAGATGTTTAGTTCTTTCGATATTGATAACCTAAAAACAATTATTGTGTAATTTCAATGTTCCTAATAACATATACATCTTGTAATTGGGGTCATCCAATCACAAATATGTAAAAATGGTGGATTTTGCAGAGTGTTGGTTTGACACAATAAATTAATATACCCTTGATTAATATGTTTTTGTAATAAGCATCGTTATTATACTCTGAGAAAAATAACTTTCATTAGTCAAGTTCACATGAAAAATGCTTTGTGGCTGGATGAATTGCGGAGGTGTTACTAGACCACAAATACACCTACAAATCACTTTGTAAAACCACAAAATACACATTAAAAATAAACATAAAAGTAAATAACTTAACTTGAAGTGAGAGGAGAGGGAATATTGGATGCAGCGGCGTTGCTTATAAGCGCAGGTGATGGCGTCATTAGGCGGCGGCATTGTCGGGCGAAGACGGTGTTAGATGGAGGCGCGATGTGGCTGGATGGGTGACGTAGGTGTTACTAGACCGATGCGGTGTGAGACGGCGTGGTCGGTGTGGTGCTGGGAGGAGGCGGAGGCTTGTGGCTGGAGTGAGGTAGCTGGTCGTCGGAGTGGGGCGGCGGATCTGCGAGGAATTTTTTGAAGCTGTGGTTTCTAGATGGGATGGGTAGGTTATCTGCAATTTTCCTACTCATTCATGTGGTTCCTATGATCCCGCAACTAAAAGTGAATAAAATTAAATTTTTAAGTTACAATTGCTGCGGTTACGTTTCCAGCGCAGCAAATAGTTTAAATTTCTGCCTCAAATGCTGCGGGTTCAGTGTGACCGAAGCAAATACTTCCGTATTTTCATGTTAATTGCTGCGGATTATAAATAACCGCAGCAAATAGGGTGCAGCAAATGATGAAAATTGTAGTAGTGCTTTCTTTCTACCCCTGTGCCATGTTGTTGAAGTCTCTGCTTGACTTGCTGCAGGTCTCTTTGCCTTAAGACAATCAAAACACAATTAGTCTCCCCAAAAACTTGATATTACCAGAAACTTTTAGGGAAAAAAATAAATAAAAAAGACATTTCTTACTGTTACTAATGTTGCTTGACATTGCCTTTTGTCATGCCCCGTCTCTTTATAGTTGCTACATTTTCTAGGCATCTCTTTTCTAGAATACTTGTTTGTTCTATTTTTAGGGATCTCATCAGCATCTTGTCTTCTAGTTGTCTTTCTTCTACCAGCACTTGTTTTCACAATGTCAGGAGGTAAAACCATTCCCTCCCCTTCAGCATCCCAAAAAGGCATCCTGGAACAGGCTGGATTGGCCTTGAATAGGTCTGTTGGTATGTTTCTTGGTTGTACCATCTAGGTAAGAACTTCTCTGGTTGGTGCTTCATGTACAAGATTGCACTCATTGCATGACAACATGGCACTCCTGTCAAATCCCAAACCCTACAAGAACATATTCTCTTTTGTATGTCCACAACATGAGCAACACCATAAATATGAACCTCAAAACCAGTTTGTGAATCCTCTCCATTCCACCTACACTCACTTAATTTGCCTATCATAAGCCTCTTGCAATTTTTCACTAATTCTAGGGGCAATACCACCCACAAATTGGTTAACACATTTCTTTTTTTCTTTCATTCTGTCAAACAAAGTTAATCTAATATCCTCCAACATTGTAATGATTGGTTTGTATCTATCTAACAAGATAAAGCTATTAAAAGTTTCAGACATATTGTTATCAACCACATCACAGGAAGTGTGCCTTACAAAATGTATTTGGATCTCTGACATTGAAGTCATCATATGCAAATTGTGAGATTGACTTCAAACATGCCATTTCCTTCAGCCATTCCCCTATACTAATGGCCTTTACACATCTCCAGAATTGTCTGTCTAGCACTTTCCCCTTATGCTTCTTGCTCCAGTTCGAGGAAATGTGTCTAGCACACTTTCTGTGCTCAGCTTCGGGCCACAATGAACCTATTGCATGTACGAGTCCCTGCATATTAAGTAAATAAAAAGCTATCAGATTTTTTTTGAAAAGACAGTTCTTAGAAGATAAAATTCCCTTTTGTTGGTCTGAGATCACTGTCCACCCCTTTCCGTCATCCATCTTTAGGTCTTTACTAAGCAACTTACAAAACCATTCCCATGAATTTTGATTCTCTCGTTCAACAATATCCCAAGCAATTGGAAACATATGATTGTTTCCATCTCTACCTACAACAACTAGAAGTTGTCCCCCACAAGCATGTTTCAAAAAGCAACCATCTAGGCCAAAGATAGGTCTGCAAGTGTCTAGGAAACTCTCTTTCAATGCAGCAAAGCACACATAGAAACGTTGAAACTGTTGTGGCTGCCCTACTACCCCCTTGTGTGTCCTTAACACACGTGTACGACCTGGATTAGTCTTCACCACCCAAGCAAGTACGGCTTTAACAAACCATATTGTTTTTCCATCAACATTGTCACATCATTTAAAGCTTTCTCTCTGCCCCTATGACATTTTATACTGCTCACAACAATCTCAAACCTCTTCTTCGTGTCATCCTTAATATGTCTTGGAGTCATCAAGGGATTTCTCAAAACATAGTCAAGGTATTCTTTTGCTAACCAATTCTCAGTTATCAATCTATTGTTGAAGGTCCTGGTGCATTTGTGAATATGTTGCATAGACTTAATTTGCCAAGCACTTACATCTACAAGGTCAGGCCCTGAAGTCAATTCCCATATACACATTGCATAACCAATATGAATATGATGTTTTGCATTTATCATATAAACCAGATCTTTATGTTTCTGAATAGAGTATGCCAATACAACCTGTTTGAATGTATCACTACATGCAAATCTTAACCCCACAGTCAACTCCACATTTTTCATGTCTGCTTTTTCATTGAATATTTCATAGTTTTTCCCTTTTATTCGCTTGAGCATAGGTTCATCTGCATCTGATTCACCATCTGATAGTAAGGTATCTTCATCATCTGAATATCTTTGTTCTGATTCATAGCCTCCTTCATAGGTAGTCCAATATGATGGCCATTTCTTAGAATCTAGTTGCTCACTGCTCTCAGGTGCTAAGACAGTTTCATGTTCACTTTCTTCTTGCTCCGGTTGTTCACCATTCAAACCATTCCCCCCCAAATTCTCGTCTTGAGGAAAGTTGCTTCGACGTTTAGAAGTCCAGATCACATTAGTTTGAGCTTTCTTTTTATTTATATTACTTTCCCTCACCTCATACAGCTCTTTATCATCATAATGTAACTCCTCCCTCACAAAGTCATCATCCCACTCAAAGGAGTCGTCAGATTCATATGCAGTTACCGTTGCATCTTCTTCTGCACTATTCCCTTCACAAGTTGTTACAACTCCCTTACACTTCACCATTTTATGTTTACCTACCATCTGCATACCGGTTTCGTCTTCATCAACGCCCAGATCATTTGGATTGATCATATGAGAGGAGGCAAGGTGGTTGACCATGAGTTAAATTGGCTCTTTTTGGAGTCAACTTCTTCTTTCCAAGCATGTTCTCTGGTAAATTGAGGCTGAAATGATGTTATTTATTTATGAAATACAACTAATGATCATGAAATTAATTGAATAACATTAGTCACTTTATAGCAAATACATGAAATTTCATATGCTGACCCTAATCCATCTTTTGTCATCCCAAGACCTACAATATTACTACAACTAACTTTGTTTGCTTCTATATATATAAACTATAAACCTTAATCACGTTAGTTATATGTATATAGATATTATTAAATTAACTAAACACATAAACGAAACATTATTGTAGTTATAAAAGCATATCAGAAACATTATGTAGTTACTTGTCACATTAAAGTGTGAGTACATCCTAGAGCAATAGGAATATGATTATTAAGGCAGTGAGAAACAAGTGAAGTCAGAAAAATCATAACCATGATTTATGCAGCAAGTTATTTGATTTTCTAGTTTTATGGCTTCATCACATGATAATATATCCATGAAGAGTTCAATGGTCTTTCTGAGCAACTATTCGTATGAGGGAGCCAGCGATGATAAAGATAGTAACCATGTAGTTGCTACTTAGGTCGACACAAATCGAGTTTTGAGGGTTTAATTTCATACCTTTAATTTCTCTCTCGAACTTTCTTTTCCTTCATTAGATTGTATTTTCTTTTCCCTGGAACTTGCTCTTTCAATCTTTTCTCGCTGGACTATTTTGGCAGCTAAAAAACGTGAAAGAAGAACGACGAGCTGTGACTAGTTGAAGAGAGGGGATTTTTTAAAAATAGGGTTATGGATGAGATAAGGCGTGAGAATATAACATGTGGGTAAGGAAAAACAATTTTGGGACTGTTTGGGACCAAAGAAAGTCGGGGCCGGAGTTTTTTTAAAACTAGATTCTCACCCGTGCGATGCACGTGACAAAATTTAATAAAATAACGTAATATTTTCTACATCAACCACGAATAACAACATCAAATATCGATAAATGTATAATGTATGAAAGAGATTAAGAGAAGAGAACATAGGTATATCATAAATAGTTTAAAAAGAGTGGGTGATATCATATGTATAATGATATCATTTTCTTCATTAATTTCATTAAATGCAATGTGTAAATGTATAAATATACCCAAATAAAATGTATTGCCTGATTCAATTACTCCGTAAAGTTTATGAAATTCTGGTTAAAATGGCTAGAATGATTGATTCTTCAGATTTATGAAAGAAATTATATCTCAAATATATTTATAAATTAAATAAAGAATAAACTATATGAAAAATAGCTAAAATGATCTTCTAGAGTAACTTCATCCAATACAGTCCGAGAAATAATTCAAATCTTACCTTTTCTTATTACGGAATATTAAACAATTTAGTGCGCGGAATCAAGTGCTACATGTTTGCGTGGAATCAAGATACTGATAAGTTCGATAAGAAAAAAAATATGAATCTACTAAAATTTATTAATTTTTTATTGAAGTGACTATATTGGTTGAATATACAGAATTATGAAAAAAATATCAAAATACCCTTTATTAGAATGTGTGTGTGTGTGTGTGTGTGAAAATAGCTAAATTGATCCAAATTATATATATAGTGCGGTTTCGGTGAGAAGACTCTTTAACATGATAAATGAAAACAATCCAAAATGATGCACTTTATTGTTCACGGAAATGCACATTTTTACTTAAAGTAATGTAAAAGTCAAATGTGCACATTTTATTTGACTATATTATACATATGATACGTAATTTATTATTATAAATGCAAAAATTTTACAAAAAAAAAGATGCTAATGGACACTTTTTTCAAAAAGTATTAGGACCATTTTAAACCTTGTACAATACTTCCGCCCTTTGCAATTCGAAACCCCAGCCCAATACTTCCGCCCTTTGCAATTCGAAACCCAATACCCAAACCCCAGCCCAACATACACATCAATTATTTATTATAGAACAGCCCAAAACCCAACAACCCAACCCCCCACCATATGCTCTGTATTCAGCACAAATACAAACCCTAATACTCCCCATATATAATAAGATCGCCAAGCCCATCGCCGCCATTCATCCGTACACCACCTTCGTTCATGGAGAGAGACATCGTTTAATCCGATGCTCTATGCTCCTCTGCCTACGCCTTAACTTAACTCCCACCACTACGATACCAATCGTCTACCCTCTTAACTTCGTACATCATCCATACTTCTACAACAGAGAACTAACGGTGATTTTGATGCTCTCATCCCAACTTGGTTCATCGTTCTTTGTTTGCAAAAGGGAGACTTATGGTTAATCCTATGCTTTTTTGCATTCTAAATGTGAAAGATTCTGAGTCACTGCTTCTTGGTGGATGAATCGGATCCTTCGACGGGGAGTAGGTGTGCGCATTGTATACGGCCAGCATATCTCAGCGTGTTTCGACCTTACCGACATATTATGGGTATACTTCGAACTGTATTTGGGTTGTATTTTTTGAATTTAAACTACACATGTCCTTGTTTTTTGTTCGAAAATGGTTTTTCATTGGATATGAAATCTCTCAGTTTTGGTCATTCCCAACACTGTTACAATATTGAACTATACATGTCCTTCTACTTAATGGGTATTTTAGCCCCAAATGTATAATCTATACTTAATTTAAGTCTAGTGTGTTAACTGGTTATTATGAAATTTAACCTTGAGACTCTCCTGCCAGCCACCTCAATGGCTTTTGGATCTTCCTGATCTGGTAACCTGCTTGGCAGAAAAACCTAAAGCCCTTCTCAAGCCAATGTTATTTACTTGTAAATGAAAGTCCTCATATTAGGACTTTCAGTAAATATATGCTCTTAGATATCTTATTTAGATCCTAAATGGTTTTCTGATATGCTTATTTATGCATGGTTCCTTTATGTAGTAAAGATGTCAAATGTAGTCAATAATTCAATAAAGAATGGTTAGTAAGATCTGGTAATGATTGGTCTAATACTTTCACAAAAATAATATGGCGATCATTACACGGTTTTAATAACAAAATGATGTAATTAGATGTGTTCTCGAGGCCCAATAATAGACATATCTTCTTGCATCAACCGTAAGAAAACATTTTAATATTATATATATATATATATATATATATATATATATATATATATATGAAAATACCATTCTCTATTCTTTTGAATGGTAGGTCGTTTGGTTATTTTAAACCCCATAGAGGAGTTAAGCAAGGAGATCCCTTGTCCCCACTTCTCTTTATAATTATGTCGGAGGCGTTTTCTAGAGGGCTGAATAGCCTAATGACCGAGGGGGCAATTGGAACTTTCAATTGGGGAAGGGCTATTAATATTTCTCACTTAGCCTTCGCGGATGATCTGATGATTTTTCTAAATGGCTCAGTGAGGTCTGTTCGTTCTTTCAAAAACTTCTTGCACCTATACCAGCAGGCAACAGGCCAGTTGGTCAATAGAGAGAAGAGTTGCTTTGTGGTTGGGAAGCGTACAACGGTTGGCAGGGTTCTTCAAATAGAAAATGAGCTGGGGATGAAAGTTACTAAACTTCCTTTCAAGTATTTAGGAGTGCAACTTCATAAGGGAATTACCAGATTATCACACTGCAAACAAATGATTGATGCAATTGATGCTAAGCTTTCTTCCTGGAAACAGAAGATGCTCTCCCAAGGTGGGAGGCTAACTCTTGTTAAACATGTGATTTGCTCTATTCCAATTCACGTATTAGCAGTGACTGGCATTCCAGCAGCTGTAATACAACTAATACACAAAAGAATGGCAAATTTCTTTTGGGGGGTTAAAAATAACAAGCCTAAACATCATTGGGCATCTTTTAAGAAGTTAAGCAAGCCTGTGGAACAGGGGGGAGTTGGAATTCGATCCATGGCAGATGTGCAAAAGATATCAGCTTTGAAACTCTGGTGGGAGTTCCAAAGGGGTGACTCAGTTTGGGCTACTATGATGCAGAGCAAATATGGCAAAAGGATCCTGGGCGATGTTAAGCCGCCGGACTCTCCAGTTTGGAGAAGAATCTGCCAAATTAATGAGGAGGCAGAAACCATGGTTGTTAGAGGTCCTACCTCTATCACTTGGAAGCATACATCCACTGGGGAATTCACTACTAAGTCAGCCTACACTTCTTTATGGCCAAGGAGGGGGAGATCTTAATCTATTACAAACATCTGGCATAATAAACAAATACCCAAAATCAGAATATTTCTTTGGAGGCTTTGGCATAAAGCTCTTCCGTTTCCAGAACAATTAGCGTCCTTCTCTGCAGCTTATCCTGCTTGGTGTCCTTTATGTAAATCGAATGCAGCCTTAGAAGATCATATTTTACTGGTGTGTCCTATCTCGCGCTCTATTTGGAGTTTCTTTGAGGGTGTCCTACAACCAGGAGGTCGGTTAATAAACCAAATTAAGGTACAGTTGCTCAGATGGTGGAGCTCCAAATCTAGCAAGTCCATGGATAGTACCTATACTGTAATAATTCCAGGGGTGATAGCATGGCATCTATGGAAAGTGTACTGGGACTCAATCTGGAAGGGGATAGATCCGGATACAGAGAAGATAATAAAATAGATTTGTAAATTTATGGTGACATGGTGCTTTGCAAATAAAAATCTGAAAGGATGTACAAGGTTGAAGGAGAAGGGGCTGATACCTGCTAGTTTTAATCTCAAGAAGCCTCAAAAGTTTAGTTGGACGAAGCCGAAGAGGATGACAGTCAAACTCAATTGGGCTGTTTATCGGCAGAATGGGAAATCGGCAGCAGGTTTCCTTCTTAGGGACCACAGTGGCGCAGCAGTAGCAGCTGAAGGCTTCCCTTTGAGTGGATCGACGGAAGAAGACGGAGAGGATGAAGTGGTAACTTTCAGACATGGTTTGAAATGGGTGGAGACTCTTCATGTTAGGCAGGTGGATGTTGATGTTTGCTGTCCGCAGATAGTGGGGCGGTGCTATTATTATGCGGGTCAGTGTCCGTTGGTGGCACATATTGGGCTTATTCCTACACAGGCGAATCGAGCAGCTGTCTTTGTTGCTAAGTTGGGTTGGGCTGGAGAATTTTCTTGGCGGCAAGGCAACCCGATGCCTAATGAGCTGCGGGGGATTATTCTTTTGGATTCTTTATCAGTTCCGCACATTATCACTTAGCTTTTGGCTCATTTATCTATAAGGCCTTCTTTTACTTGAGAGGTTTTGGTTTAATCCCCCTCTCGTTCTGTAATTCTTTTTTATGTTCGTAATAAAAAAAAATCGTATAAAAAAGAAAAAGAAAATACCATTCATACAAATTACTATCAAGTTGTTATACTATAATACTTTTTCAAGTTATATATATGTATAATTTTCAAATTTGTATAACAACTTTGAAATATTACAAATTACTATCTGCTTTTAATACTAAACATGTTGCATCTATTTTCTGACATTTTGGATCCACTTATATTATATTTATTTATATGCCAGCTTTGTATAAGTGCTATACATGGAATTGTCTCAAAATTGGGTATGTGATTCTTACACACAATGGCCTTCAGATCTGCGTGATCTGGCAGACTGCCGGGTAGAAAACATGTAGTCCTTCTCAAGAACAAAATTTGTTGCCTGGAGATGAAAGTCATCATTTGATATAAACTTCAATTGTCTTGAGAAATTCTCTTATTACATATTTTGTTTCTAAATATAAATGAATCCCTCATTTGATTGTTAATTCCTTTACGTCCATTTATAGAGTTAAGATGACAAAGTTCGCCAATATGCATGGGTAAGTATCTGGTCAATATACTTGCCTTTAATCAAAGCATTGGTGAGTAAATAGTCAATTTCAAAGCATTGCCTTTATGTATATGTATTTATAAAATTTTATGTAAAAGCGATTTGAAACTGTAGCGCGTGGTACTATTCTAACATACTTTATTTTCAAAAACCGGAAGGTCTTTAAACAAAAATATGATTTGTATTATGTGTGATCCAACTTGAGATGCATTTTAACACGATATCATCTTTTATATTGCAGGTCAAATCCAAACACATTGATTACATTTATGAATTAGTGTTTAATATTTATAAAATGTAAATTCGTAGAATCATGGACCTGAATAAGGTGCCCAAATGTGTAATTATTAATTTGTTAATATTAGGGATTGCAGGGTGTTATTATTCCATGGTTAAAATCTCAGGTATGATCTTCATCCTCTAAACATTCAAGTCCTCTTTGCTTTTAAATCCCATTAAAGTCGGGTTGTTTCTCAAATAAACTGCTCACTAAATCTGCATGTGTTTATGTAATAAGCAATCTAAATGTTGACAAAACATGAATCTATATTTCAAAGCATACCCTCTCTGCCTTAATGTATTGCCTTTCACATTTACCTTTCGTTGTTGCCATTGATTATGTGTTACAGACACATACTTTTCCAGAATCTTGCAAACGATGCCTGTTTTTAACAAACTGCCAGAAAAAATGCAAAAAAAGTGTTTTAGCATATGACAATAAGCAATGTTCTAAAAGGCGCTAGGCGTTAGTCGGACGCCAGCCCAATGCCTAGCGCCTAGGCGGACGCCTAGTCGGGGACTAGTCGGAGGCACAAAAATTGCATTTTTATCTATATTTTTGCATAAATATGTTAAGTAATATTGTATTTTTGTGTGTATAAAATAAATATATACTCATACATTAACAAACATGAATGATAGAATTATCACACTTAATCATACGTATTATATGATAACTAATCACTTAACTTCATTATGTTATAAATAAATATAATTAATACTCCCTCCGTCCCAATATAAAAGGCACACTTTCCTTTTCGGTCCGTCCCAATATAAAAGGCACATTTCCCTTTTTGGCAAACAAAACAGTGCAAAACAGTGCCAAACAGTGTCCAAACAGTGCCAAACAGTGTCTAAACAGTGTCAAACAGTGTTCAAACAGTGTTCACCCTTAAAAACTCCCCAAACGCAAATGTGCCTTTTATATTGGGACGGAGGGAGTAATAAATTTTAGGTATATATACAAACATATATAGCTTTTATCTTAATTTACAACTTCATTTCTTTATATCCGTGGCTAAAGTTAAAGTACTTATACTGCTTAGAACATAAAAATTTAAAAGTAACATAATTTTCGGTGAATCTACACGGCCTAGGCGGCCGATTATGCGCTCTAGGCGGGTAACTAAGCGCCATAAGCGGCCGACTAATTCACCTAGACGGCAAACCAATTAGTCGGAGCGCCTAGACGAAAATCGGGGCGCCCGACCACTGACTAGCGCCTAGGCGGGGACTAGTCGGATGCCTAGAACGATTTTTAGAACAGAGACAATAAGATATACCTCATCAACATAGGTAAACATTACTAAGAACATGAAAATGATATCCGTAGTATTTTTCAAAAGATTTTTAAGCCATGAGATACCTTTTCGAAGTAGAAAACGACTCTCCCATCCTAAAATGCATACAAACCTTGTTGTTGTGTTGTAGTGCAAGCACATTGAGACTATTTATAGTTGCATAAGTCATGGTCTAAGATTATATCAGTGGTTTTTAACCAATGGTTATTTGAAATCCAGAATCTTTATTCTAAGATTTTTCTACAAATCATTTAATGTTGTGTAGTACAAATTGTACAATGCATTTAATGTTTATTCAATTATGTTACTCCACTTGAGAGAGCTGGTCATTCGAATACAGTAGCAAGGACAATAATGTTTTTCATAGGACAATACATTAAATGCTATTGTACAATACATTAGCCACATACGTACCTTTCTTAATATTCTAATTGCATTGTCTTGGAAAAAGATTTTCATGCATTAAATGCCAAGCATTGAGCCCCAAAATATTGAGCCACCAAGGCTGAAAAGTCAAAAGTTAAACTTCTTTTAGACTACATCAATTATTGAGCCCCATTTTTGTGTTAACTGTCAGTCAATTCGATGTACTTAATAAACTTTTTCATGTGCCATTAAATGCATTCTCTTGAGCCACACAATTTAAACATTGAAGATTGGGCCAACATTAAAGCATTTCATTGGGCTGCCTGCAGACCCATTCCTGAACCCATGGACAACCCGACCCGCCAATGACCCGACCTGAACCCATTGATGTGATGTTTTTGAGCGGGAATACTCTGCAGAAATTCTTTTGCTTTTGTATAATAGAAGATGAGCCGTAATCATATTGGCCCTTTTGACGTTGGAGCGTTTTTTATCAATATGACGCCGAAGTTATTTTTTCTACCAATTTTGTCCAACTACCCTGTTTTTTTTACCAATTTAGCTGAAATTTGGTATGAGTGAACTAGACTTAATGAATAAGATGTTCAAAAAAATTTATCAAAAAATTCTACTGGGAACCGCCTCAAATGGCATGTCCGGACAGAATATTCTGTATAAGGACTTATTTGACTCCTTTTATGCAACTTCGAGGACCAAACTGACCCTTTACTCGTCTACCACCTTATGTGGTTAGCGAGTTGGGTCATTTTTCGGCGATTTTTCATCTTTATGTCTCATTCCAGTGTAGCTTTTAATATGCCAACTTTATATCCAGTTCTTGATTTTAATACGAATAAAGTTATCTTTTGCAAAAAAAAGTTGTCGTGTTATGTTACACATTTTGACATTCGACCTTGTAGTTTTCGGTATTAAGTTTATATGTATTGTTAGCGAGAAGTTGAACGTAGTGGTCAGGATGGCCGAGTGGTCTAAGGCGCCAGACTCAAGTTCTGGTCTTCGGAAGAGGGCGTGGGTTCAAATCCCACTTCTGACACAAATTTTTACTTTACGTTTTAGAAACTACTCTGTAACTTTTTGACTTTTGTTGGACCTTTCTATTCGAAAGACTTATTTGCATGTTAACTTTTTTTATGCAACTTCGAATCCTTGGTAATATGCACAACCCTTCGTTAAGCAAATTTATCACTTTTCCCTCAGCCTGATTTTCTGTATGTATACAAATGTGTGGGTTTATATTTGCTGATGTTCATTTTGAGTGCATTTTATCTTGAATAATCAAAATTTAAAGGCTCCACTAAGTTCTGCCTATCCAGTTTGAGTTTTGTTAGTCCTTATAGAAGTTCTTCTTCCAGCTCTTGTAGCCCGTTTGGATTTCTTATTATATTAGAAAGTGGCTACTGTTAAAGCATTGCCTCCGCATTTTAAAATAGGTACTCCGTATTAGTCAATTAAGTATGAAAGATTTTTAAATCTGAATGGCAAAAGATGTTTTCACCCCTGTAAAGAAAGTGAAAACTAAACATTGCTCGAGTCTACAGAGTATAAAGAAAGTGATTATTATTATTAGAAGAAGAAAATACACTAGCTTAAGAAAGTGTGAAAATGCCTTTGTTTTAAAAAAAACTCCACTTAAGACAGAAATGGTTGCATTTTGAATTTAAGGAAAAGTTATTAACTAAAATAAAGAGACCAAAGAAAACACCAACAAACCTAGGAGTGGTGTATAGAGGAGGATTATATGAACCAAGAATCCTTAGGAGCATCGAGCATGTTTTCACTAAGATAAAGAATATGGGGCTGTTGGAAAATGTGTTAGTAAATTGCATTAAATGGTCATTTTGGGGCAATTTTTTGAGTGGGGTCCACTTCCGATTTGGGTCGGGTCAAAGTGGTTTCGGATTGTCCTTGCTTAGGGCTACAATTCGATATATGGTACGCTCAAAACGGATAACGGGTGAATGAGAAATCACTTTTCGAAGTTTACCCGTTGGAATGGAGAAAACTAGGAAAATGATGGGTTTCTAGTGTGGTTTTCCCACACCGGAAAACCCAAGGGAATTTGAACCCTTTATAAAGGAAAACCCCCCTTAAGGAGTTAAGATTCCTTAGGGTAAAGGCTCTCTCCACGCGCGCAGGGGGGGTGTGAATCAAATCCCGAAACCGGAGAACAAAAAGCCCGACTTGCGTGTGCGGGCGACCTGCGGACACGAATGTCGTCCGAAAACTCTATCTTCTAAAGATAAACGTTATTTTTTGTTCCTCCGTTGGTTTCCTAATTTTTGCTCCAGTTGGCTCCACAGCAGGCTACTGCTCCGTGCGAGCAGTTGGCTCCGCAGCAGGCTGCTGCTCCGTGCGAGCAGTTGGCTCCACAGCAGGCAGCTGCTGAGGCGTTACAACGCCATAAATGCCCAACGTTCCTTTGCAATAAATGGACGGTTTTTTGGACGAATCAATGCCAACGAGCTGGACATTGATTGCCAACGTTCATATCCATTAAACCTCCATTAACACACCTCCAAATCCTTCCTATAAGTAGCTGGCAGGTGATTTGCAACAAGACACCACTCACAAACGTACTCACACAGTTTTTGAGCTCTAGAAAAACACCTCCAGTTTCCGAAATTCCTTCTGTGTTCTAACCCTTGTTCTCGTTCGTTGGAACTCTAGTTTGAGTGCTAAACTATTGTTCGAAGTCATCGTATCCTGGCAAACGATCGTTGCAACGCTCCTAGCACCCCGGGAGGCAACGAATACGTATTAAGGAAATCGTGCTTGGCACGAGCTTTGGCTTATTCTGCTTCATCTCATTTCACGTTTTTCCTTTAAGTCATTTTATTTAATTAATTTTATTAATTATTTTCTTAGTTTTTCGAAACACACCCAACAGACTTAAAACGTATTCGTTGATTGTTCTACTGCGGTAAACAATCTTACACTTGTAGTTTGTCACCTTGGTGAACGAACTTGTTTCTGTGTTTCCGAAGAACGTAAGAAACGGAAAAATGACTTCTCAAGAAAATGAAAATGTTGTTGGGCAGAACGCTTTGAACGGTTTGAACGATAATCACTCTGAAAGCGGAGCTCCGGTGAACAATAGTTCACAACGCGGTGCATCTGCTTTGGTTAACCAAAGGGCTATCCCTATGGTGACCGTGCCGAGCAACTCTGTGGAGAAACCCGAAAAATTTAACGGGTTGAACTTCAAGAGGTGGCAGCAAAAGATGCTCTTTTACCTCACTACTCTCGACTTGGCAAGGTTCTTGACCGAGGACGCTCCGGTTGTAACCGGGGGTGAGGTGGATGTGCAATCTTTCAATGCGGTTGAAGCATGGAAGCATTCTGACTTCCTTTGCCGAAACTATGTGTTGAACGGGCTGCACGATGCTTTGTACGATGTGTATAGCAAATTAGCTACGGCTAAGGAGCTATGGAATGCTTTGGACCACAAATATAAAAGTGAGGATGCCGGCGCAAAGAAATTTGTTGTTGGTCGATTCCTTGATTTTAAAATGGTGGATTCGAAGACGGTCTTGAGTCAAGTTGAGGAGATGCAAATGATCTTCAACGAAATTCGAGATGAAGGAATGACGGTTAGTGAGTCGTTCCAAGTGGCGTCAATTATTCATTTATTGCCGCCGGCTTGGAAGGATTTCAAAAACTACCTTAAGCATAAGCGAAAGGAAATGAACTTGGAGCAATTGATCCTCCGTCTTCGGATTGAAGAGGATAACCGGAAGAATGATGGGAAACTCCCAATTGTTCATGGCGCCAAGGCCAACGTGGTGGAGCATGCAAAAGGCTCCAAAAATAAAGGCAATGGGAAGAGCAAGCTCGGTCCCAAAGGAGGCGTTTCCAAACCCAAGTTTAACGGAAAATGCTTCAATTGCAACAAGAACGGACACAAGTCCTCGGATTGCAAGGCACCAAGGAAGAAGAAAGACTCCCAAGTCAACTTGGTGCAAGGTGGGCAAAAGGATGAAGACATCATTCTTGCGGCCGTGGTGACCGAGGTCAACCTCGTTGGATCCAATTCCAAGGAGTGGTTCGTGGACACCGGTGCAACCCGGCATATTTGCTCTAACCGGGAGCTATTCACGACCTTTGAGCCATCAAACGGTGAGAAGGTGTGGATGGGAAATTCTGCTCACTCCGAGGTGGAAGGCGTGGGCAAGGTGGTCCTGAAGATGACTTTGGGCAAGGAGCTGACTCTCAACAATGTGTTGTATGTCCCGGAGATACGCAAAAACCTGATCTCGGGCTCTTTGTTGAACAAGCATGGCTTCCGCATGGTCTTTGAGTCGGACAAACTAGTTTTGTCTAAATCGGGAATGTATGTGGGAAAGGGGTATGCAGTTGATGGGCTGTTTAAGCTCAATGTAATGACTATTATTAATAATAATAATAAAATCTCTTCTGCTTACTTGCTTGAGTCTTCCAATGTGTGGCATGGTAGACTAGGACATATTAATTTTAATTCTATACGTAGATTAATTAACATGGAACACATTCCTAAATTCACAATTGATGTGAAGCACAAATGTGATGTTTGTGTCGAGGCAAAACTAACGAAAACGTCTTTCAAATCGGTTGAAAGAAAAACGGAACCACTAGAATTAATTCATAGTGACGTTTGTGATTTTAAATCAATACAAACACGTGGCGGTAATAAGTATTTTATTACTTTTATCGATGATAGCACTCGCTATAGATATGTTTATTTATTAAAAAATAAACACGAAGCAATCGATAAATTCGTTCTTTATAAGAATGAAGTGGAGAACCAACTTAATCGACGGATTAAA